GAAGGGACCAGCGAGGTCCAGCGTCAAGGGGCGGGTCTGAGGCCGCTACTGCGCAGGCTCGCCCCGTCTTGCCCAGCCCCGAGGATGGAGAAACAGGAAACACGTGGGCTTGAGAATTGAGCGCCCGGGTCAAAAGTGCAAGGAGTTCCTCCCAAAATAGAAGAAGAAAACAAAAGATAAAAAAAAAAAAAAAAAAAAAAAATCGAAGCAGTCAGTCCAAAGACAATTGCAAATGACCACAAAAGATGGGAAAAATGTAGCTTACAGAGGGCAGGTGTGGTCTGGGTGGGACCTCAGGTGGCCTAGGAGCCGGGCTGTCTACCCTAAGGCCCTGCTTCTTTGCAATTGCTGCTTTTCTACACTTTCTTGCATTAAAGAAAGTCTTCAGCTAGTGCAAGTGATATGCTCTAAGAGGAGAGGCAGTATGCGTTAGTAGTTAAAAGGGTGGCATCTTGAATCAGACTACTTAAATTTAAAACTTGACATCACCATTTCTAGGCTGTGTGATTCTAATCAAGTTAATACAGACAAACGTCTGGGTACAATATTGGCATACAGTGAGCACCTGTGTGCATACGCTGTAATGTTATCAGTGATTTGGTTAGTTCATTTGTAGATCAGGTTAGAATTACAAAAAGTCAGAACTCCTCAGAACCTAGACAATAATGGTCATTCTTTAATGAGCTCTCTTGTTTTCTACCCCAGGATGTATTAACATACAACCCTTAATAAAATTATCCTCTATTTTTTCAATCGGTATGTGTAATGGTTAATCAGAGTACAAAATTATAATAACAAGAACAACTGGGAACAAACACAACGGACTCTTGGTAAGCATACAACCGGTAGAGCAGAGGTATGCAGTTGTCACAGAGTATTGTACTTGTGAGCATTCAGTGTACCACCGGCATCAATCAGTATGTGGGGGGAATAAATGGCATGATAGGGACAAGTATTTATAATAATCACCATTCTCATCTTTTCTGGCCTCTTACCATCCCAATATTGTTCCAAAGCAGAAGTATGATGTATTAGGTTTATTAGTTTTCTGGGGCTGCTGTGATAAAGTACCATGAACTTGGTGACTTAAAATAACAGAAATTTATTTTGTCACAGTGATAGAGGCTAGAAGTCCAAAATCCAGGTGTTGGCAAGGTTGGTTCCTTCTGGAGGTTCTGGGGGAGAACTTGTTTACGCCTCTCTCCTAGCTTCTGATAGTTGCTGGCAATCCGTGGCATTTCTTGGCTTGTAGACACATCACTCCAATCTCTGTTTCTGTCTTCACATGGTGTTCTCCCCTCTCCTCTATTTTTAAGATTAAAAGCATGGCCTTTTAGTCAGATGGATATGGGGTTTGAAGTCAGGCTCTGCTTCTTTGTGATCTTGGGCAAGCCCACCTAGCATCTCCGAGCTTCAGTTTCAAGGAAGATGTAAACATCTTCCTCAGGACTGTTGTGATTGAGTGAGTTGTGTTTCAAAAGGCATAATATAAATGGGGGCCACTGGAATTAAAGTCACGGTCAACTAAGCTCAGTAGCCACTTTTTCTCTCTCGAGTTTGCATAATTTAGTGCTATAAAGGTCAAAGGGGTATGAGTCCTTATAGAATTAGTTCATATTCAGAGAATTTTCAATTTCTGAGCAATCTAAGAGACTTAAGTCCTCTTCTACCTGCCTATGCTTTCTATCTTTTGTTTTACTCTCTCCCTAAGATTAAAGTGGACAGATATGATTAGAGAAGCCAGAGAAATACTTCTTATCATTTTCCGTGGCATCAAGTATAATAAAGTTCTTTCTATATTAAAAGTTAAAAACTCATTTGTAATGTTATCAACAGACAATAATATCTGTTTCATGCAGTGTAAAGAGTAAAGCATATACTATTGTGTACATAGGAGTTACTAAGAATTACATAATTTTTCAACTGGAAAAGATCTTAAAGGTGCAATCACTCACTCATGATAAAAATCTTTTCTTCAGTCTCTATGACCAAATAATCCAACATATTGTAGAAGCCAGGCTGGTTTCCTGGGCATGTGACTTGCACTTAGAAGAGCCCTATGCTTGGCTTAATGCTCTGCTGTCCCTGTCTTGAAATTTTTAATACTTTTGAACAAAAAGCCCCATGTTTTTCAGTTTGCACTGTGCTCTACAAATTATGTAGCCAGTCCAGTGAGAACAATTTTAAATATTAAGGTTTTTTATAATGGTTTTTACTATAATTACAACCTAGATTAATCCAATAACTTTCTGTCAGAAAGCTACTTTTAGTCAAAACTAACTTTGTTATAAAAAGTGAGTGAACAAAGTATGTCTATTCACAACCATGGTAAATAGATAATATGCAAATATCCAGCTATGTGGATGGACCTTGCCACCTAAATATCCATCAAAACAGTATTGGTTAAATATATTATGGTGCATACATACAATATAAAGTGCTACTTAGACACATGGGTCTTAATCCTGGTTGAACATTAGAATCACCTTAGGAGATTTAAAAAAAATTGTCTAGGCCCGTGGCTCTGAGATGCTGATCAATTGGTCCAGGTGTGTTTGGAGCATCAGTGTTTTTGTTTTTCTTTTAAGCTCCACAAGTAAATCTAATATACAGGCAGGACTAAGAATCACTAATGTCAGCCTTTTTTAAAAAGGTGAAGTGGATATAAATCAATTAGCATGGAAAATTGTCCACAATATGTAGTTTTTAAAAATGCAGATCATAAGGCATTTATGGATCATATGATTCCATTTAGGTAAAATATTTTAAATATGGAATACATGTTCTAGAAGGGTAAACAGCAAACTGGAAAGAGTGGGTATGAGGGTGGAGGTAAGACTCCTGAAGACTTAACATTCTTCACTTCTGTACTTGAATTTTTACACCAGAATGCAGATTTAAAAAATAATAATAAATGAGAATACAGTATTTTTAGAATCAGCAAGCTTCACATTTTTATTTTCATTTAAAAAAAAGACGAGTCTTTGATTTATAGCTTCCAGCTGTTTATAACACGAATGCTTACAATATGTTCTAGACTCTTCAAAATTTTGGTAAGCTTACATTTTAGTATAGAAAATATTGTCACAGCATGGTCTCCTTTGAATTAGTTGAAGGCATTCGCATTTTCCGGATGAAAAAACAAAGAGTTAAGCCACTAGATTCTGCTCTTAAAAGAACTGAGACTCAAATCCCCATCTGATTCCAAGTTGAATATTCTTTCTATTCTACCACGCCCCTTTCTTGATAGCTTATTCTATACAGCATTCCTGAAGACAGGGGTCACTATATGCCAAGGAAACATTAATTGACTGGGTATTATAATCTTCCAGGCACATTCAAAATAAGAATAATTATTGCTTAACAACTTCAAGAGGTGTCTCCTGCACCTATTTGTGCCTATTTCACTTTACCGAAGGCAAAGGGCTAAAATGCTTTTCTTGATCTTTTGGTTTCCTGGAATGAAGGAATGTCAAAGGCAAATTTATTTCTGCCCTTGTGTATATTCTTATTATTGAAGTTTGGAAATACAGGATTCTAACTGTGACATATTCAATATCCCCCACGCAATCATCAGCAAATACTGTGTGCTTTACCTTCAACTGTTCCTCAATCTGAACTTTTCACCCCTCCTCCTCTACCACTTTGGTCCAGGACCCCTTTTTCTCTTGTCTGGATTACTATCACAGCTTCCTAGCTGCCCCCCTGGGCTCTGTGTCCACTCTTTTCACCCTATAATCTAGTCTCCACCCAGCAATCAAGTGAAGTTTTTAAAGTGTAAATCAGATCTATCTATTTGTCTCCCCATACCACTCAGAATGAAATCCAGAGTCTTTACAACTAAGATCTGCTTGATCTGTTTGCTGGCTGCTACTCCTACCTCATCTTCTATCACTCTCCCCCTGGCTCCCTGCTCCATCCACGCTAGCCTGCTTTGCTATGCCTCAAACACATCAAATCCACTTCCATTTCAGGCCCTTTGTATTTGCACTTCCCCAAGCCCAGAACACTCTCTTCCAGATATCTGCACTGATGCTCTCTCTTCATTCAGATCTCTCGTCCATTGCCCCCTCCTCATTGAGGCCTTCCTTAACCATCCAATATAAAATAGCACCTCCTTCACTGTCTATTCTCTTACCCAGGTTTTATTTTTCTTTACAGCATCCCTGATATATTTTTTTAAATATGCATTTTAAATATATGTACATATCTTTGTTTATTGTCTGTCTTCTACCACTAAGAGGGAAACTCCCCAAGAGTAGGGACTTTGTTCTTTTTACTGCTGGATTGGCAGGGCACAGAACAGGGCCTAACAGGTAACAGGCATTTAGCAATCATGTGTCAATGTATCTATCCTCCGTTTACATTTTTAAGCATTTTTTGCTTCTACCCACCCAGGCTTTTACGCAAAGAAGGTTTTTATATGTGAACACGCTTTCCTTACTGCAAAGGCTAAACAAATGTTAATCATTATTACAAGGGATGGTTATATGGGTTACTGTGTTTAAATTGTAGGTAAAGCTAACACTCAAGCAGATTCCAAAGTGAATCCCACTAGGGTCCTCTGTGCAGAGGAAGCAGCTTGGGATGAAGCGGAAGTAAGGGCAGGGGTTAGAGGAAGAGAGAGGTGCGAGCTTTTGCTTAGGAGTCCTGAATTAAAACTGGTATTGCAAATGTAAGTAAACCTATTCTGTAGTCTTACCCACCACCTCACTCTACCCACCTCCCACCCACAGCAGTAAAAACACACTTTACACTTCAAGTGCTAGACTTATTATTTCAAACAAAGATACATTTTGTTCTTTTGGCAAATCAAACTTTAAGGGTGACTTTATTATCCTCTCCTATTATTGAATAAATAAATGATTAAGCTAAATTGCAAGTTTTCCCTGCAATATAGGCTAGTTTTTTTTTCCTTTCCATAATCATGACATTAATGTGTTTTGACCTGGGTGATCATTTCATTCCATGGGGGGAGGAAGAAGAGGGGGAATCCGTGCTGGGATGATGCGAGCGGATGAACATGCTTATCAGAATAAAGTATTTTTTTCTTTTCATCTTACAGGCCAGTCTCATCACACATATCCAGTTCAGAGGATGCTAATATAAACCTTGCCCACCTCTCTCAGCCCGTCTTTCTTACTCAGACAGTTTCCAAGCAGCTCTCTGATGGAGACACAATCTTGAGTTTCCAGGACGAATCGTGCCACAGCCTTGCCTCCTGGCAGATGGCTCCTCACTGTGTCCCTTTTGACACTGTCCAGGACAACTCCTCTGATGTCCTTTGGCTTTCCTGGCACACCAAAGATGATAAACAGGCCCAGACAATCCTCTCCTATCAAGTTGCAGAATTCTTCCAGCTTATCAAATCTACTTCTCTTCCTAGAAGACTCCTCTGCCCTGGATTCTGGATTGGAGAGGTCACAAGGCTTAGATTCCAGAGGAGGAAGGGAAGACATCTGCAGAGTCTGTACTGCCAGCTGAAGCCTTATTTGCTTATCGGCTCCCCAAAAGGTCCAAACCCAGTCGGCCCCAAACAGTAAGGCTTGGTGCTTGGTCATCTTGGTGGTAGTGAGCCACCCGTCTACTCCCTTCTCCTGGCAGAAAGTGACGAAGTGGATTAAGAAGATCTCATTCAGCGTGTTTGAAGCTGGGCATAGATTGTTCTGAGGGGCTTCAAATCCCAGATACTCCTTCAGTTTCTCAGCTGCATGGATGATAGCTTCAGTGACCACTTCACAGATGCTGAGAGCCTCGTTGCTGTCCTTCAGAGCCAACTGTTGTGATGGTTTTTGCCCCATTTTCTCTGCACAAACATGAGAGCCTCATTCAGAATGACTTCTTTTTCAGAGTAAAAGTTTTGTAGTGCTGTCACATCTGATAATGGGGTCCCAGTGTTATAACTCTACAGCTCCCTCGGTATAGCTAAGCATATATACACACACCTAAACAAACATGCGAGGTCTCCCTGTTTGCGAACTGGGTGTGTTGTATTCACACAGACTCCTCCTGGTTTATTAAGTTAGAGACATTAACTTTCACAAAAAACATCTGTTCTTCTCTAGTTATATTCACTCTACTTTTAATACTTGGTAATCTCCTCCAAGATGTTTCCTCTTTTCAAATTTTAGTTAAATTAAAAATAGTATTTAGTTCCTTGAAGAACCATATACCTCTTTCTACAAGTAACTTCTTCAGCTGTGCAGGCAAGTCATTCCCTTTGTTTTTTCAATATCCCCTCTGCCACGATACTTCATCCCCCAGTTCTCAGCTGTCTATGTTTCCATTCATACAAAAGTTTCTCAAAGGCCTCAAATTTCTATCTGTCAATACATGTTATAAACCCCACCCAAACAAATTTATGGGAGTTTGTGAATTGTAAAGAGTTTGTGTTATTGTTCTCTACATCAGACATAAACCCTGCTGGTTACCCTGAACAAAGGAAAATAAAGTAACAGACAATAAAAATATGAGGCAATTATCAATTGACTTTATTTCTTTTCATATGGTAATACCAGCAGTGTATAATATTTTGTAAATAAAATATATATCATCAAAAAAATTTTAACCTTATCACATATCATCAGTTATGTTACATTGTCCTGAATAAAGAATATTTGGCATCTATAACAGTCTCTGGGTATTTTTAAGCAGGTTCAGATAACAAACTGTTTTTCAAATGGTGGCATATATTAACATTAAAATAAAACCCAAATACAATAGGAGTCCAATACAGTCACCAAATAATGAATGGTAGGGAGCAAAAGATTATTATTAGCGTCAGATCATTTTAGGTATGAATAAATAGTAATTTAGTATTACAACTTCCTTGATGAAAAGCTTCATAACTTGCTGATAACTTGAAAGACCATACCACTGACATTCAAATATAGTTTATAAGCAAGTCCACTGGCATATATTGAACTGCCCACCCCTATGTGAATTTGTGAGAACCTGTCTTTACCACAGTTGGCTATCATGAGTAATGACGTAGTACTGAATAAAAAATAGAATATTTTTTCTAATGTCCCTAAAAAAATAATAAACACAGTAACAGTTTTTGCTGCAGCTTTCTATATTCTTTATAAAGAATATTTGGGCCCTGTGCTACCAAAAAACATGAACTACATTTTATCATCACAATATAGCCATTATAAAACTAATTTTGCAGACTCAGAGTTATTGAACTCTGAGACAAAATGTTGAAACAAATATTCAGCTTTAAAAAAAAATCTCATCCCTCGAAAGCCCGAGAAATGTACAATTAATAACATTAGGCAGACTGTTAGTATTTTGATGTAAGGATATATTTAGCAATGAGGAAAATAAAAAAATTTAATACTGTGAAGGTTTTTGTTTTGATTTTGTTTCTTCAGAAATTATTCTATAAATTTTGGGGGAGCTTCTGAATGCATTAAAGTTAATAGTATTTAAATTTTCCTCAACTTCTTCCTATGAGGTAAAAGGATCCAAGATTAAGGTTGAAATTCTTAAAAAACTATTCAACAATTTTGTGATGTGTCATCAAAGAAGGGATATTTAATATATACTAATTTAGTCTGAATGATCAACATTATTAAAATTCAGTTGTGGAGAAAGATCATCCTGACCTCTCCAAGAACCAGCTGGTATATGAAAATTTTGATCACTGTATTTTTTTTTTATGTGATCTTTTTACCATCTTCCTTAGGCCACAAAATAAAAGTTCTATTTTCTATGTACTAAATATTTACATATATTTAGAAAAATATATAAAAATAGGACAAAAGGAGGCAAGTGGAGGTGTGGCTGGCATTTAGTGGGCACAGTGAATGCTCAAAGAAATTCCACGTATTGATTTTGAAAGCATATGACGTCCTCCTTCGGTGGCTGCAGTGCCGTCACACTGATGTGACAAAATCATTCACATACTGGTTACTGCTTCTCAAACCCTCCATGCTGTGAACGTGAATGGAAACACTATGGTAAAATACTCATATTAAATGCAACACTTTAAATATAATATATCACAGATTTTTACATTAAATAGAGGAAAAACAATTATACTCTCTTTCACCAGTGTCTCATTTTTCATGGCAACTTCAGAATAGGCACGTATCCTCTGCTTTCCATTTCCACTTCTAAGTGAGCAGAAGCTGTACAATAAATGACATACAATCTGTTTCTTGTGGTATATACTGTGAATGTTTGAGAAATAAAGTGGAAAATGACGAATGGCTTCTAACGTTCATCTAGGTGCGGTCAAACGTTTGAGTCTTCGTCGGTAATGCTGGCACTGGGGGAACGGGCAGCAAAATCTTTAAACATGTCATCTTCCTTTAACATGTGCTGGAAAACAAGGAGACGGGGGTCACACGGCGAGCCAAGACCTCAGAACTACACGTTCTTCATTATGCATGCGGTCCTTTGGGGTTCTTTTCAAAGATATTTTTAGAGTAACATTTTAAATTCATTTTACAAACTTACTGTCAGATTGTTGATGCCTTCAGAGAATGCACCTATCTGTCTCACTGTCCCTTCTGAATCTTCCATCTGTAAAGAGGACACCATAACATGACATACTTATTTGCACAATTTCAAGTGCAGCAAAATGAGCAAAAGTCTAAGAAGAAATAATGCAAGTGGTATTGAATGGGATAGGAGCAACAGAACACTTCTGATGATAGCTCCTCTCACTATGGCAATTGGAAATTAAAAGTTAGAAGAAACACTTTACTGGCACATCTAGCCTAATGCTCTGACATTGACAATGGCACCAAGGATTGCTGATTAGAAGGCAATATTCAGATCCATGACTTCATACTGAAAAGGATACATAGTATGAGTTGTCCATTCTTTTTCTTTTTTTTTTGGCTGAGGAAGATTCACCCTGAGCTAACATCTGTTGCCAATCTTCCTCTTTTTGTATGTGAGTCACCACTACAGCAATGGCCACTGACAGACAAATGGTGTAGGTTCACGCCTGGGAACTGAACCTAGGTTGCCAAAGCAGAGCATGCTTAACTTAACCACTAGACCACGAGGGCTGGCCCTGTCCATTCCTCACGTGTTTTAATACACAGATTTCCTGCCAGTTTGGAATCTCAGCTCTTCTGTCTTAGATAAGTCACTTAACCTCTCTATGCCTCAGTTACCTTATCCCTAAAATGAGGATAACAATACTTCCTATGTTTTAGGATTAGCATGAATGTTAATATATGTAAGTGCTTAGGACAGTGCCTGGGATGTTGTAAGCAATCTTAACCGTTCACCATTATTTTTTTATTATCTTTATTTTTAGGTATTTGAAGAAAACTTCTTTGACTAGTAGACAGAGTGCACAAAGTTTCCGTTTAGTATTTCAATGCTGGAAGGACTGTAAAATAGGTATACAGTGTTGCATTTACCTGCTCTAACCGGTCCAAATCATCTTCGTCATATAGGCGCATGTCCAAACCAGATTTAAAGCCTTTCTTAGATGTACTTCCTGATGCCTGTCCCAAGTCCATTGGACAAACATATTCTTCCCCATCTTCCTGTTTCTTCTTTCTCAGGTTCCCAAAATTGCTGAAGGTAAGTTTCTTTGGCTTTAAAAGAAAAGCAAACAAAAACATCCAGGGATTTGATAAAATTCATATAACAAGGGACCAATAACATATATAATTTAATTATTCACTCCATCTATTGAGAAAAGCAACTGGATGATTACACTGATATAACAAAAACGAAGGCATCCTATGCATATGATTGATGTATCCAAATATGATAAATGATCCTTATTGTGAATCTCAGAAGATTAAGCCTGTTCTCCTTATTCACACCAACTAGCTGGGGAGTCACTGGGATAAGCAAAATATGCCAAGAGCCTTAGTTTTGATTAAACAGGACTTAATGCAATGAGATTTCTCAGGGCTGAATCCAATTTTGCAAGGTTTTCCAATCTAAGATCAGCAAAAGAAAATGGTCCTTACTGTATTTTCTTTTTGGGTGAGGCTATGATTATCTTGCATGCCTGCTATGCTTCCATAACAGGACTGGTGACTGGCTAAAAGAATCCCTGCTCTTTTGGAGAAAGAACTTCTGGTGATACCTCTAAGAGAAACTCCGTCTTAGTCACTGGATAGTCCCCGAGACTATCTGTTAAGGAGATGGTGACCAGGCTGATGCCGAGAATTTAAACAGAACAGAATCTCTCAGAAGTTTCAAATCTCGCACACGTTTTTTAAGGGAGAAAGAGAGCTCAAGAGAAAGTGTCAGGCAGGCGGAGGAAAGAAAAAAAGAAGTTGGTACATATTTGTGAAGGAGCCAATAAACTCCATCTCCACATTAAGCTGGTTGAGATAACAGACTCAGCAGAGTGAATTAAAAGGAGAAAAAATAATCTGAATTTGGTATGATCCATGAATCCAGGTAAATCTGGAAATATCCATTCTTTGCTGGTCTACCCTGAATCATTTATTAAGTATCTTTTCCTAACTTGCAAGGTTGGTCAATTACAAGCCAGACCAGCTAAATCTGTATGAGAAGAAATTCTCCTCTTAGACTTGATTTATCTATAGGACAACTACAATCAATATTTGGGCCCAAGTCATGGGCTGTCTGCATAGGCAACGTATCGCTTACAGAAGCCAACACCATAATCATTATTACTGTTAACTCTAATAAAATAAATGATTTGAGCAAAGATTCCTCCAGAAGGAAACCTTAAAAAGTGCATTTTCTTAATTACTCTTAAAGATGCATGTACCTTCAACCCACCCACAAAACTTAGTAAATCCCAGAAAATGGGATAGTCAGGTAACAGTCAAAACTGAGCCTTTGCCATAGGCAATTATTAAATGGTGCGAGCTTGAACCAACCTTCACTTTGGCAGTAGCTGTTAGGAGTACATAATCTGGCAACTCCATGGCATCACGCTTCTGGTGTTGGGCCTCAGCACCGATCAGAAGGTTGAAATGAGTGGCCAAATGTCTTCTCAACAGGGTCTTACTTGGTGGGATGTTCAATAACTGAGCCATTGTTTCTACATTAAAGCGAGGTTCTAGAACCTATAAGAGAAATTAAGATTGTTTAAGGCACCATATATCATACATGTCTGCATTGTGCTTTTTAATTTACAAAGCTCTTTCATTTAATTATCTCCAATGACCCTCTCAATAGCCCAGTGAGATAGACATAGTATGGACTTTGATCTTCAGTTTACATATCTTTTCTTTATTTTGCCCCACCTAGTGAAAAGTAGAGCTAGTCCTGGCATCCAGTCATTACAAAGTTAGGGCTTCTACCTCTCTGAAGTGATACCTTTGGGATGCCTTTGGAGGCCAATTCCTTATGCAACATCAACGTGCAGAAATATAATCTGTAACTTGGCAGGGGTTTTAAAACATGAACATATGATAGCCAGTGGCCAGATGTTTTCCAACATAAAAGAGGACAACAAAAAGAGAAATGAGTTTAAATCCGATCTAGGGTTATGTGATATAAATAAAAAACATAGAAAAAAAATACTCTGAAAGTAAAGATTCACTAGAAATAGTGTAGAAGGATTCAGTTAGAAGACTTTAGGATTATGACAAACAAACTGATAATATCCTATTCATTCGACTAATGGGAACAAAATGATAAGAAGTCAATTTTAAATTAAAACAGAGTTTTACCATGAGCCCACCATGGACACCACTGCCTCTAAGATTGGGGGCATATTCTGCCAGGTCCACAGAGCGCAGCCACTCCATTACTCGATGATTGGTCCACTGCTGAACCTCTGATGGGGTGATGCTATTCTATGGGAACAAACAACCACAAGAGCTTCAGTCATTGACTATGGGATTCCAAATATCAAACCTGTATGTTCTATCTAAAATGTCTGCCCCAAGGAGCAGAGTTAATCAACATCCCACTAAATGTTTAGGGAAAGGGTGAAAAGGTGTTTGCTAATTTGAATTCTCTTTTAAGAAATCTATGTCACAGAGTTTTAAGCTTTTTCGCACACTAATAAAGCTATGTTTTAGGAGAAGAAGTCTTTATAGTGATATTTAACTCTGTGGCTTAAGGAGGCAGGAAAATAAAATACACTCGAGGAAAGGTAATTAAAAAATAATCCTTAGCTTCAGTTATACAGGTGGAACCATCACGGGGGGAAGGGAAGGAATATAGGAGAACATAGCCTAAGAAGTAAGTGAGGCTGGATTTGAGGCTCCGAGGGAACCAGAAGTTTTCCCTTGCAGGCTCCAAGAAGAAAGGGGTCTTAGATTCCACACAGACAGTCACATGCATGGAAAGTGCACGCTGTGTAAACCTCAGCCTCAGATGCTACCTCATCAGACGGCCGCCTCCGTAGACAGTTTGGTTCAAAGTTATTGATCCTCAGGACCTGGATGGCCCTTTTGATACTGAGATGATGTAGCACACTCACAACCTTCAAAGACAGTAAGTCATCCTGCAAAAAAGAACAAAAGAGGAGCTCACTGAGCTGGCCTAGCAGGAGGACCTTCTCAGGGGAATCGCAGAAAATGTAAATAAAAGTAGAAGAGCCCCTCTACCAATAGGCCCTGAGGGCTTGTCAGTGTTTTCAAAGCTTTTATTTAGTCCTAGAACCCTTTCTCCTACTCCAGTCAAAATCCTCTCCAGGACCCCAATATATAAGAAAACCAAAATTCATGTTGTTCCAACTGAAGCCGACTTCCACCTGTTTCTCTCTCTTCCAGACATTCTGAGATAGGATTGTGGCAACCCACAGGAAACACAGTTTGAACAGCACTCACTGAGTCATTATAAAACGTGCTTTGCTTTGATTTGATTTGATAAAGCAGAAAGCTACAAGCAAGCGATGTTCATTGACGATTGAGGCTTGGTTTTCTGAGCATATCACAATTTTGGGCAAAACAGAAGAATGCTCCTGTTATACTACCCCCACCCCCCAGCCTCAAGAAACTTCTAGTTCTAGATTATTATGCTTTATTTAGCAGACATTGTGAACAATTTTGGAAAAACTATGTCAATCAATGGAAAGGCTTTGGTGAGAGTTCAGAAGAGAAGAGAAATGAAGAAGTTATAAGTTGCAACATATACTACCAGTCCATTCCTTCAAGGAGTAACTTTCAACCAGTCTGTGGTTATTGGGAACATTTCAAACACACCAAACACCAAAACAAATTATTTTAGAAGAAGGTGACTTGGGGGGCAGTGTCAAGATAAGCACCAGTCTACTTCCCAACACACCCAGACGATAAACAAGGAAAATGTACATTTTAGGCACACCTTACTGATAACACATTTCTGGTGGGGGGAAAAAAAAAGAAAAAAAAAATTAATCTATTATAGCAATATTTTTTAAATAAAAGTATTGGACAATCACTTTAAAGCCTTAAGGCTAATAACTGAGCAAAAATTATTTCCTGAATTTTTTCTGGATTAATTTCTTAACGGTAGTGCCTTATGATAAGTTAGAAAGAGCATTTAACATATTTTAATCTAAGATTGAGATGCCCATTCAAAAGATTCCCATGTGGGCTATTTTCAACTAAAGTCTATCAAATTAAAAAAAATCTAAATGCATAATATTTACAATGTAAATAAAATGTTAATTATTTTAGTTTAAGGGATTTTTAAAGTAGAGGACGTTTTCCTTTAAATCAAAACAGATTTTTTTAGGGGGGTTAAAAACAACTTTTATTTTTAAGTAATTTTAGATTTATAGAAGAGTTGCCAAAGATAGTATATAGAGTTCCCTAAACCCTTCACCCAGCTCCCCCTAATGTTAACATCTTATATGACCAAGATATAGTCATCAAAACTAAGAAATTAACACAAACAATAATAAAATTTAACTGAACTACAGACTTTATTCAGATTTCACCAGTTTTTCTACTAGGTCCTTTTTCTGTTCTAGGATCCAATCCAGGATACCACATTAAAGGAGACTTTTTGTGACTTAGGACTTACGGGGTCAAATTTCCTAAGGTAATTCATTCTTTTATAGCCATGAAAGTTATACATATGCTTTTTATGATTTTAAGCCTGAATTTGCTTACACTTCCACGGAAACATACGTATACCTAGATAGGCAGGCAAATATTTACTGAATTTGTTCCAGGCAGACTAGTGAGCTATTAAGAGCAGGGATCTGGAAACAGTCCAGGTTCAAAGGCTCTATGACTTTCTACGCCTTTCTAACTGTGGAAACTTGGTTGAGTTACCCAATTTCTTGAGTCCTTCATTTCCTCATCTGAAAACTGGAGATCATAAGAGTGCTAACTCAAGGACTGCTGGGACTTGAGTATGAATATGAGTAAAGTGCTTGAAAGAGTGCCTGTGGGCCGGCCCTGTGGCTTAGCGGTTAAGTGCGCGCGTTCCGCTACTGGCGGCCCGGGTTTGGATCCCGGGCGCACACCGACGCACCGCTTCTCCGGCCATGCTGAGGCCGCATCCCACATACAGCAACTAGAAGGATGTGCAGCTATGACATACAACTATCTACTGGGGCTTTGGGGAAAAAAAGGAGGAGGATTGGCAATAGATGTTAGCTCAGAGCCGGTCTTCCTCAGCAAAAAGAGGAGGATTAGCATGGATGTTAGCTCAGGGCTGATCTTCCTCAAAAAAAAAAAAAAAGAAAAAAAGAAAGAGTGCCTGACATACAGGAATTGTGCAACATACCACATGCTAGCATTATTACATGCAGGTTTACACGTGTGCCCATCAAGACACGGACTTTGGTTCAATGACAGAGAAGAAAACAAACCCCATGGGGTCAACTCCAGATTTCTCTCATATTGAAAAATTCCTATTTAAGTTAGCTGTTCGAAACTTTCAACTTATTTAAAGAAGATACTTGTGGTAGTTGGATCCATAGCCTAGCTCCCAAAAGGCCATTTAAATACAAGTATCTTAGGTAGAACACTAATGGTACTATGGAATCTAGAACAAGTTCTCCTGGAATCCATTTCTCCCCGCTCTTATAAAGTAGGGAAAAGCCCTTCTACTGAGTGGTTGGAAGGCTAGAAATATGAAACAATAATGAAGGAAACAGAGTGAAAGTCTCCCTTTCCCTGCTTCTTCTCTACCCCTGTGACTCCTGCCCTAGCAGAACTGGGCTGAAGTGAGAAGGGTGAAAGGTTTCAGGTAACAGTTCTCAAAAGTGGAAGGGAAGAGAGAAGACGAGGCCCTGTGGCTGTCAAGTCAGAAGGGTAGCCTCTTCTGAGTGGTCACTGCACATAGGAATATACAACTTCAAAATTGCCAGAGCTTCAAAACTCTACATTCTCTCTATTGTTTAAACATCTTTATGAGATATAATTCACATACCATAAGATCCACCCATTCAAAGTGTACACTTCAATGTCTACATTGTTGAATACATAAAATCAACTTTCCGGATAGCTTAGTATAAATTCAGTTTCATGTAGCTTAAATCAGGGTTTCAAATTTTCCCAAGGCTATTGCAATCACCAGATTCTACAACTTCAACCTAACAGGAAATATTCCCATTCCACTGCTCGAGTTAAAGCAACCTCTGGTGGAATCATTGCGAAACACCGTATTTTCCTTACTGTATTTCTGGATTTTTTTTTTTTTAATTTTACTTCTCCAAATCCCAGGAATGAATCACTTACAACAGTCATGTAATGGAGCATTCGACCATCTACTCGTCCTTCATCAAACTGGGTCTTGTACTGGGGAAGACCAATATCATCCAACCATCCTAAAGGAGGGAAATCAGTGTCATTACAAGCCACAGAACACCTGTTCTTGTGATTAAAAAGAAAAAGCAGGGCCAGCCTGGTGGCGTAGTGGTTAAGTTTGCCTGTTCTGCTTCGGCGGCCCGGGGTTCGCTGGTTCAGATCCTGGGCGTGGACCCACTCACTGCTCATCAAGCCAAGCTGAGGCGGTGTCCCATACAGAAGAACTACAACTGTACAACTATGATACACAACTATGTACTGGGGCTTTGGGGAGAAAAAAAAAAAAAAAGAGGAAGATTGGCAACAGATGCTAGCACAGGACCAATCTTCCTCAAAAAATAAAAAATAAAGAAAAAGAAAAAGTAGCACTCCTGCTCTCTCTCTATTCCTTCATTCATTCATGAATTTAAAAACCTCTTACTAGTGACCCAGTTGAAATCCAGCTTTCCATGATTGGTTTCTTCTTCGGATCCCAGGGCTTGCAGTGCCAGCTGGAGTTTCTTTCGATGAAGTGAATGCTTGATTCCAAGTTCCTGAAATAATAAACAGAAACCTTGGCTTTATAATTCTGTCAACATGGACTAGACGCCACTGGCAAAAGATGCAAATTCCTCCAAAATGAAGCTAGAATTAAAGACCCAATAATTACATTAAATCAGAATACTAACTCAGCTAGTAAAATGTTACTGAACAGAAGGCTCCAGAAAGCCAAGACCACTACGGTTATTTCAGTGTTATGTTAGACATTCCCTATTAGGCTCATTCCTTTGCAAGATATGAACTGTAGCACAACAACAGGAATTCTACTCTTATTTTGTACTAAATGTTAAATAATTGGGAAGAAGTGTTAAATAACTGGACATAAAATATAGGACTTTTTTTTTTTTCCTTTTGCAAAGTGAAGTTGAATTGCATATATTACATTGAGAAGATGAAACATTGATAAAGCCAAAAAACGATTTTGAGAAAAATGAGCTGAAGGTTTATTATGGTTATACAATTATTTTTCATTAAAATGCCCAGTTGCTTAAGTGTTCCATAAAGGAATCATTAAAACCATGAGATAAAAGAAGCGTCAAGCAGGAAACACAACCTTTTTCAAGAGCACTTACTGCCTCCACCCACTCCCCTTTCTGGAGTACAAAACAATCCTACATTCATATTCTCTTTCTCTCTCTCAGTCTCCATTGTGTAAACAAAATAGAGAAGCAGTCACCTTCTCTAGATCTTGTTGAGATGCCTGCAAAAGCGTTTGGCCAGATGCAATCCAGTGCTTGCCAGAATTCAGGTAGGACCCCAAGCCCTGTTCCACAAGCCAACTGCAAACCTGCTCCTTGGTCCACTTGGCAAATGGCATATCCAAGTCACTATAGGAAAAGGAACAATTGCATGAAAAACAATTCAAAGACAATCTGTGGCTTATGATCAGGGTTGAACAATTATATATTCAACAGACATAGAAATTCACTGGTGATACAAAAGCTTAACTTTTAGTATATATTTGGAGGAAGAAGTGGTACTGGAGTTGAAAGTTACCTTGTAAGACCACAGTCTTTTCATTTCAAACACCACCACAAAACATTCATTGTGATTTAACAAGAACATGTTCTATAGAAGAAGACTGAATTGAACCAAGTCAAGTCATTGTATTAGATTCAATCAATGTTGTTTGAAGATTGAATTCCCAAACAGAAATACTGGGTCAGACTGAAAAAAAAAAAACTCAAGTCTAACTTGAATTAACTTTAGCGGACTTATGGTTTCTCTTCAGATGGTAATCAATGAGAAGAGGGCAATATACCATCATTGAGTATGGAAAAGCATAATCAAAGCAAATTTCTGTTTTCTTTTACTTGGAAACACAAATAATGTTCCTGTTTGAAAATAAAAAAAGTGAGATAAACATTCCTTTTTTTTTTTTTAAACCAGCATAAGGAGGTCCTCTACTGTGTACAAAGAGAACATATGGCAAATGAGACTGTTCGGTATTTGAAGAAGGCCAGAGGGAATTTCCTCCTTGATGAAACTCATGCCCAGTCTTCCGCCTGGGTGGGAGGGAGCATGGTTAAAAGGTTTCTAGCCCATTGTCATTTTTGAAAGATTTAATATTAACGATTTGTGCCCTATGTTTGCCAACCCCACCTTTTATGCTTAGTAGGTCAGTGCAGTAACTCCAAACCAGCTCTAAACTGTGATAAGAGTGCAGGAAAAGTTCTTAAGAGTCTTAACAGATAAAACATTACCTAGTCTTGATAAATTTAAGAATTCTGATAGAATTTCTGTCTTTAAGTGCTTTCACAGGCTCCATTAATTGCTGATGTTTATTGAAGAGTTATTTGTCAGATACTTAATATATATTAACTCATTTAATCTTCACAATCACCTTTTGGGGTAGGTACTTGTTATTACTATGAGAAACAGAGGCATGGAGCATGGAAGTAGTTGCTCAAGGTCACCCAGCTTGTAAGAAGTAGTAAGGCCAGAAATCAGATCCAAGGAGTCTGACTCTAGAAACTACTCTTAACTACTATGTTATCCCATCTTTCCAGGGCTATGCTTATAACTATTTTCTATGTACAGTTTAAGTCCAAGAGCCATTCTAGTACAGCTGTTGCTGACACTTCAGCTCTAGCTCCTCGTCTAGCTCACAGAGCCCTCACCTTCTGTAGAGTTGTTCACCAGCCACTGCTAAATTGCACTGCTCTAATGATGACGGACGCTCCCACTGGGCATGGAAGTAAGCAATGGCTTCAATTTGTGTAACCCGGGGATAATACTAACATTGCAGGTGCTCATGAGGCCTTGACACTTGGGGTAGAGATGCAAAAGTCCATTAATTGGGCTGTTCTTACCTGTTAGTTTGTCCCAAATCTCTAGACCAACCCAATCGGGGCCCTGCAGTTGCCCTTGTCCCTCCTCTTTTGAATTCAGGCTCAGACATATCTTCTGGGTTGAATGTAGTTGATTGACTTCTCCTAAGTCTGAACAGCAGACACAATACACATTGCTTTTTATTAGAACTGAGGAGGCCTTAGAGTCTAAAGTTAATCAGAACATTTTTAACTAGTGCATACATTGGAACTACTCTTCCTTGTACGTCATTAAAGTAGACATTTGGATTTAAACTCTAACAGAGATCCAATGAGTTAATGAATCACAAATCACAATCTTCCTTCTGTAAGAGGAACACAAAAGCCTTTCAATTTCGTACCCGTTTTCAGCCAATTTTACATTTATTCCCACATTTGAGCAACTTATAAGACAAAGCCCACTCCACTTGTTCTTACTTTCCAAAGAGTTTCATGATGCCTCTGGATTTTTTTTTGGAATCTGGTGATGGTGGAGACATCTGGAAAGGACTGCTCCCCTGTGCATCTTTTGGCCGAGAAGATATACCAGCCAGATCTAGGTGCTCGGCAGTCTCCTTTTCTGTTTCAGCTATTCCAAGGACAGAATACAAACTTGATGAATGTTAAAATATGGAATGAACGTGACTAGATGTTAACCTTCTTGGCTTTAGCAACCGTTAAGAATTCTTCTGTTGGTCTATAAATCAGTGATTTACAAAGAGCACCCTGCAAATATTAAAAATGGAACACAAATGTATGTTCTACTCTATGGTCTCTTGTGTAAAGTTAACTATTTTACAAATTACAACCCCTTTGAGATTCAAAGGTGTGATAGGATTGCCATATTCTTTCCTTGAGTGATTTGAGTTCATAAAGAAATTATCCTCAACCTTGCTGTACCACTTGGTACTGTTGACTATCTCCTACATCCTTCGAAATCATCATCTCCTTCAGCTTCTTGTCACGACACTCTAGCATACCTGTCATCTGATAGTTCTTTCTTTGCTGTAGCACCCGTTTTCCCCCTCTACTCCACTCCAAGATTCTGTTCTAAGTTCCCTTCACAGAATCTCTTGACAAGCTCATCCACTCTACGCTCAGCACTAAATGATGGCTTCACTTGTTTATAAACATTTGGCATCAAAATCTCTGGGCCTAATCACTCTCCCCAGCTTCAGTATTCGAATGCTGTGTATATTCCCAGTTCGGTATGCCAGGGACATCTTGGACTCAACAAATCCATCCAGTATTTCTGAGTGTCTTCCCTTAAATTTTATTATTTAATCTTTCAATAATACTAATTAATATTTTACCTGTTACTCCAGTTCAAACTCTTTGACATTTTCTTTTCATTCTTTCCTTTCCTTTGGCATTTACATCAAATCACTTACCAAATTCTGGCAATTCTTTATTCAAGAAATTTATTCCTGTTTATAACTTGTTATGTCCTAGACACTGAGAGAATAAACTAGATATGCATAAATTCTTCTTTTGTTGCCTGTTGATTTTGCCTTAAAAGAATAACATCCAAATTTGCTACTTCCAGATCTTCCAGCATTAATTATCTTAGTTCTTTTAGCTGTTCCTTAATGGATGATCCCACACTAGCAAACACAAGGGCTACTGTTCCCACAACGTGAGATTGTACACTTTTATAGAGAAAAGTAAAATTTGTATAAAAATCACAGGAACAGTGTTTCAGCCAGATATAAAAGTTGCAGAAGTTGACTTTTCTACAAAGCAGAGCTGTGATTATAGGTTATAATAAGCAGCATTTGCTTCTTAGCATTGATAATACATTTCCTCTGAGAAAGATGCAAAAATATTTGAAAATGGTTGTCTGAATAGATCAGTTTATTTTATTCATCCAGAGTTCATTCCAGACATTTAAGGCTACAAAGAGAGAGAAGTCACCTTTGCTGTTCTCCGTAAATATGATAGATACGTGGATATCTATACAAGGTAATAGAAGCTACTGGGAAAACCCAAAGGAATGTTTCCATTCAAACCCTGTAGCCATGATGAGTACAGGCGTCCCTGAAAATGTTGCCTAGCTCACCCTCATTTTAAAAGCATCTTATTTTTATTTTGAGGATTTTTTTTCCCTACTGCACCTTATCCTTTAAAGAGGAAAAGTGAGCTTCCCCTCCCCTAAAATCACTTCAGGGGCAACTCCTCCAATAATACATAAAGTTACTTCTGTCATCACTAAATGTCACCTCCATCTTCAAAGCAATAAAATGTCCAAAGAATGTTCCCCTGAGAGAAGTTAAGTCTAAAACGATCATTTTCAATGTCTTCCACAGACCTCTCTATTTGGCTAAAAACTTATTTTTGGAGGCTGGGAAAAATGTAAACATGGAGAAGGCATTGCAAGGACCTCAAAGTTAGTGTGAGATGATATGCACTTCAGGGGTGAAAGAGCTGGAATTTACAATGCCAGGACATTGCTGCCCTGCCCTCTGAGGGGCGCTGTGCACTTCTAGGGCCTCTCAGAGCTATTCGCAAGGTGTCATTAGCATTGGTTAAAACAGCTTTAGGCTTGGAAGCAAAGGCTCTGCAGAGGGTCCTTTTTAAAGCAAAAGGTGGAAGGAACACTCTGAAGTAGAGAACCACATTTTCTGACTGCTGCCAGCTTGCTTTCTAGAGATCACAGATGCCAAGAGCAGGGATTAGCTTGGTTGGGAGCACAGCGCTGGCGAGGGCTGGCATGCAGGGGTACGATACCTAAGGTGGGTGCACTGGCACTTCGTTTACGATCTTCAGATATCCCAACAACGCACACAATCACACGCAGCCCAATGGAGAGAACACAGGGGAATGACAAAATGAACACAGATCAAACTCCTACTCACAAAATACACACAATGGGAGAGGAGGCAAGCACCGCACTGTGCTTCCAACGTTACACACAGACCCCCCTAGCAGTGCAATATGGGGTTAATTATGCACTTTCAAAACAGATGGGAAGCTGTTTATAATGAAGTCAGAGAGAATCACAGTGTTAGGGCCTTTCTCTAGGTTTACACCCCAGAACAGAGAGCATGGTGAGAGTCTACACAGAGCTATCTTCACACCACTGAATTAAACCCATGGAAGCATTTTTTGCTAACTTTTCCCCCCAAGTCATTCACCTTCATTTCTAAGAAAGAGAAATGTATAAACAGATGAATAAGGGAAGGGAAGAGATGGATCTTTTCCTCATTCTGAAAGAATTAAGGCCAAGGCATTTGAGCCATACTTACCCAAGTTTGGTGCACTTGCTGTCCTCTTGTTACTTTTTATTTTAAAAAAGCCACGACCAAAGGAAGATCTGGCTTTTCGAGTGCCAAAGGGGTTGTCATCCATGGAGGCATCGTGTCCCGGGGCTTTGGGAGGGAGGCTCCCAAATGGGCTGCTTTCTCCTGGAGCTTTATCCTGAGAGAGAAGTAATTACAAATGAAACACAGGACTAATGCGCATAATTAGTACATGCTGGGTGCAATACTAAATAAGTTACACAATGTGACTTTATTTAAAAGAATGAGTGAACTAACAAATTGATTATGAATGTCAAATTCCATATCAGAAGTTAAAAAACTCAATTCTGAAAGCTACCTGAGAAACAACAACAGCAGCAGCAACAACAGAAACATGTTCATCCCTAACCTGTAATCCATGTGATTAGAACTTTAAATATTAGGATAGATATAGAAATTCTCAAATTTTATTTTAATTTTATTTGCCTCATTCCCCCAAAGACATGGAGATATTACATAACTAGAACAGTAGTAGATTTCTTACTTTTCTAACAATTAGGACATAGATTTGGCTCTCACACAGTTCACAGTCTTTATAATATGAGTACATCGATAGATCTTCAATATAATATAACTATTCTACAAAGTAGGCATTAGTCCCAAGCTTCTATACCAGTAATATAAGGAGACTCTCCTCAATCTTCTCAAAGAATTAATAATAAAATGAAGTCACAATCAGTAACTGTTTAAAAAATTTTTTGAAATGGGATTCTGTGATATAGTCATATCTCACCTGTGAGTTACCAAACATGGATCACCTATTTTCAAAGACTTTGATACATTCAGAGACACTTAACATTAAAACTACACTTGCTATAATTAAAATCTTCTTGGCTGATTCAGAAGCCACTTCAGCTGTCTACAATATGTAAAGGTCTGTAAAAAGAACTTCAATTGTGAGTAAATTACGCTTTTAAATATAGCTTATTTTTGAGCTTTCTGGTTATTTGAATTGGCAATTATAGTCACATGGTCTGTTATATTGTATTAGTATTATACAAGGAGGCTTTATTTGCATGTTCTCATTTCTCTAACGTCTCTTGCCCTCTGTTTCTTCTTTTGCAGAGGTGGAGAGAAGGGTGGGGGGGATACAGGCTTTTAAGGCAGTTATTTTACTTCACATATCTACTGCTTATAGCAACTAAAAATTTAGAGCATTATTATCTACGTCTCAATGCTGATGTCAAAATTATTTAACCATCTATTGAACTGGCAGGACAAAAAGAACAGAGGATGATTTTAATTACAGCTGTGTCCACTGTCTCTGCTTCGTCAGTTATACCTACACATCATGACTCAAGGCACTAAGAGCCAACAGTCAAGAGACTGCATCAGGAAGTAGCCTGTCTACCAGACTGTAACCTTTACAAAGTTAATGTTAATGATCGAAAATCAGAGGACAGAAGAACCAGAGACCCTGTTGATGTCTTTAAAATTCCCCAAATGTTTGCTGCAGATGGACAGTGGTTATATAAAATAAACTGCCGGCAATCTAAGAGGGGCTTTTTGTGGAGTCTAAGGAAGCCCAGTTATGATCATTATGGTCATCAAATAGCATGACTGAGAGTTTGGGGTTTTGTTTCTGTTTTTTCAATAATTTATCGAGGAGGTGAAATTTATATAACATAAAAGTAACTATTTTAAAGTGAACAATTCAGTGGCATTTAGTACATTCACAGTGTTGTGCAACCACCATCTCTATCTAGTTCCAAAACATTTCCATCATTCTAAAGTAAAACTTCGTACCCATTAAGCAGTTTCTCCCCATTCCTCTCTCCTCTACCCCTGGCAACCACCAATCTGTGTTCGGTCTCTGTGAATGTATCCATTCTGGATATTTCACATAAATGGAATCATATAATATGTGATCTTTTGTGTCTGCCTTTCTTCATGTAGCATGTTTTGGAGGTTCTGAGAAGTTTTGGTTTATTGGAGACATTTAAGCAATCTTATGTATTAGAAGTCTAATAGATATATTGGAATCCTAAATATTTTTACGTTGTAATCTGGACATAAAAATTACCTCTGAAGGCTTCTGAATAGACTCCTTTTCCTGTTCAAAACAACAACAAAATTTAAGGTTGTTACAGGAATCCTTTATATATTCAGAATTTGTCACTTATAATTCCATAACTTAAAATAAATTTATATCTATTTCTAAGCTACAAAATCTCAGTTTCATTTATTTTTTATAATGTTTTATTAGTCTCCATTTTTGGTTTTACATACTACTTTCAGTCCTTCATGTTCATACTTCTTAATATTTACCATTAACTGTGGTATCTAATAATTTTCCTTTAGAGAAACCACAAGTTCTTCTTAAGAGTTTTATTTGCAAAATGGGAAAAGATGAAGACTCCTAAATATTTTCTTCTCCGGGTAACAGACAGAAAAAACACAGAACCAACCCCATCTGACGACTCTTTCTTCAGATTGCCCAGGCTGCTAGACTTTTGCAGACTTGAAGTCCTAAAAATAACAATAATGATAATTAGTATTAATAATAAGTGGCTCTGGTGTCACTGTGTCTAAGTAAAATATCTTGGTAAAAAACTAAAATTGTGTGTGCGTTAAATCCTGATAATGAAAGAAAATCTGGATTCAGATTTTGTCACTCAAGTGCCTAACTAAATTATAACATTTAGTTCTTTTAAAAGCAGGGTGGTTAACTGTCCTGCCAGTAACTCTAAATGTCATGAACACGTTAAAATAGCTAGAAAAACACTCAGGACTATCTCCGTGATGTCAATATTTGATGTACACCTGAAATTTTTACAATGTTATAAACCAATGTTACTGCAATAAACAAAAAATTAAAAAAAATAAAATAAAATAAAGACTGTCTCCTAAAAAAAAAAAAAAAAAAAAAAAAAAAGAAAATAAACCAGTGTTTCCCATGGACTAGTGGTGCATTCTTGGCATGTATACATTTACACCAGAACTTTTTAAATACTTATGTACTATTTATATATAATCCCTCTAATTAAAATAAAGGATGAAAGTTTTATTTTTCAATTCACAAAGGAATCAATTTTCTGAGTCTGGCAAAGTATTTCATTTTATAGTTCTAATCAAAGCATAATGGAGGAATTCCTATTGCTGCCTAAAATAATCCATTTGCTCTCCTTGTGAAGCCAAAGTGACAGTGTAAACATCTGGAGAGATTTTCTTTTTCACATAATTAGCATATATAGAGCTAGTGTTACTCAAAGATTGAAGGCAGGAATATGTGACCAGCTTAAAAAGAGAGAAAAAAGCAACTTCTTTCCTCTAAGAAATAGAATAATATAATATACAAACATTTAAATACTTTAAAATACATTTCTCATGTATTTATGTATAAGTAAGTTGCTAGAAATGTTGACTACCAAATAAAGTAAAAGATAATGGAGAGAAAAGAAAAGATCTCATCTTCGAGCACTGTTCTGAAAATAGATTTTCCTAATTTAATCCAGACTTTAACTTGGATAAACATAGATATTAGGTCAGCTTATTAAATTGAAAGTGCAAAAAACCACTGCAGGCTTTCCAGCCATCACATCATTTTCTGTGATTCTTTTCTGCTAGATTTGCATTCGAAATATGTCAGTACAAAAATGAAATTAAAAGTACTGCACTTCAAATGAAAACACATGAGGGAAGGCTAAAGCTCTGCAAAACCTGGCAGGAGATAATGGTAAATGAGCAAGTATTTATTTATTAATTCACAACCCCCACCCCTACCCCCACCCAATCATTACAGCTGCATTAATTTATTCAGGCCTCAGAGTCACCTGCTTTTAATACTGGTTACTGTTAGTGTAACAGAAGCTTCCTCTCTCCCAAGTATCAATCACATTTTTCACATTCAATAAAATACAACTTACGAAAGACTATCACACAGTTGGGTTTCAACAGCAGCACCAAGGATTATTTTTCCATCACTAAAATATAAAAAAATTAGTATTTATGAGCTTCATTAAGAAAAGACCATATATATTCTAAGTGAACAGAATTGTAAAAAACAAAAAATTGTGTAAGGGAAGCTATTTCTATCTTTTAAAAAAATATTCTATTGTATTTTATTTGGTCTAATTGGAAGATTAGGCAGTTCATTTGGGAATATGTTCCCCCCACATTCTATTTGCCTATGAAGAAATTATTGTATCTTTGTCCTGTCTCCTTCACGGCCACGTTCCAAACAGCCTCAGGTGCACGACCGTTGCAATTCTGTTTGCAACCCTTTGATGGCCACCTGTGACCTAGGACATAAAATCCAAGTTTCCTAAAAGCCCTCTCTAACCTGACCACCACGCCTCCCAGCCTCATCTCCAATTACTTCCTGCTTCACACCTTTTATTTCAATAATACAGAACTAATTATGGGTTCCTTGGCACGTGTCTTGCTGTTTCTCGCTTCTCTGGGTAAAACGTTATTGTCTGTAAATAAACGCAATGCACCCTTGCTTTTGGTTGATCTACTTTTCTGGACATTTATATTACAATGTTAGGTCATAAATGACGTACTTCTCTTCAAATGAAATCTCTGGCTTAGGAGGCAATTTCGCTTTTTCAGAAGTTTCCAAGCCTTTAGATGCTGGCAATAATGAAGGGATCGAAACTTGCAAGATGCTGGTGTGGAACTGTAATATAATAATAAAAAGTCAAAAATCAATCCATCAAACAAACAAAACATAAGCCACAGAGCGACAAAAAATAAGATAATTAAACGGTCTATCGATAAAATTTCATACACGTGTTTAGAACTCTGTTCTTATATTTATAAAATGGTTTCAGGATATAAACATCTAGAAGTGTTAATCAGAGAAAATATTCTGGAGAAAGGTAATTTTTGAACTTGGTTCTGAATAAGACACTGTATATTGTGAATAAGATATAATAAATATCCTTAAATGAAACCACCAACAAAACAAAAAGACAACCTACCAACTGGGAGAAAATATTTGCAAATCATATATCCAACAAAGGGTTAATTTCCAAAATATATAAAGAACTCATACAACTCAACAACATAAAAAGGAACAACTTGATCAAAACACGGGCAGAGGATATGAACAGACATTTTTCCAGAGAAGATATATGGATGGCCAACAGGCACATGAAAAGAGGTTCAACATCACTAATCATTAGGCAAATGCAAATCAAAACTACAATAAGATATCACCTCACACCCGTCAGAATGGCTATAATTAACAAGACAAGAAATAACAAATGTTGGAGAGGATGTGAGAAAAGGGAACCCTCATATACTGCTGGTGAGAATGCAAAACTGGTGCAGCCACTATGGAAAACAGTATGGAGATTTCTCAAAAAATTAAAAATAGAAATACCATATGACCCAGCTATCCCACTACTGAGTATTTATCCAAAGAACTTGAAATCAACAATTCAAAGAGATTTATGCACCCTTACGTTCATTGCAGCATTATTCACAATAGCCAAGACGTGGCAGCAACCTAAGTGCCCATCAACGGATGAATGGATAAAGAAGATGTGGTATATATACACAACAGAATGCTATGCAGCCATAAAAAAGAGAAAATTGTGCCATTTGTGATAACATGGATGGACTTCGAGGGTATTATGCTAAGCGAAATAAGCCAGACAGAGAAAGACAAACATCACATGATTTCAGTCATATGTGGAAGACAAAATAATACGTGGAAAAGAAGAACAGATTAGGGGTTACCAGAGTGGAAGCGGGGGGAAGGCAAAAGGGGTAAAGGGGCACACATGTATAGTGACAGATAAAAACTAGACTATCGGTGGTGAACACGATACAGTCTATACAGAAACTGAAATATGATAATGTACACCTGAAATTTATACAATGTTATAAGCCAATATGACCTCAATAAAATAATTAAAAAAAAAAACCCTTAGATAAGTTAATAGTAAATCCTAACAACTTTAAGCCCTGGTTGAAATCTTGGCTCTAATACACTTGCCAGTCACTTCACTGGACATAAGTTGTCTCCTCTGTAAAATGAGAATGACAATGCCTACCCTACAAGGTTGCAATGATTTATGATGAGATTTGAGTAAAGTGTTTTGTAAACAAAGCACTATTTTCACTTTAATTTCTACTACTGGCCTAATATAGAACATCGGTCAAGTCAATTATTATTCTATATGCGAACAAGCTGAGCAACTTCAATTAACAGAATTGATGAAAAGTGTAATTAAAAAAAATTATAATGCACTTTATGGCTACACCACTTAAAACACTTTGCTTGATATTACCATTGCAGCAACAACGACAACAAAAAGCATAATACATTTTCTCAAACAAATGCCTTGTGTATCCTAAGGATGGACTCTGTGAGAGAATTTTTATACTCTGGTTTTCAATAACTTCTGATAACCATAAAGCAGTTAGATTGTGGGCCACAACAGGAACTAATAAATGAAACACTTGAAAACACAGTCCGGTTAAAAAAAAAGAACAAAACTCGCCTCAGTGAACTCACTTCTGCAAGTCAACCAATCTGTGACAGCTCTTCACTTGTGAAAGGCAGCCAGTCTGGCAGGGACTCACACCAGTGAACAGGCTTCTAAATGCCAATCCATCAATAACAGTCTCACCTTCATAACCACATACAGCTGATGTCAACTCAGTCCTGCCTCTGCAAGTCCACCCGTCTCTGAGCTCCAAGCATCCTGAAAACCCTACATATAATCAGCTTGAAGAACACGTCCTTGACCAACGAAGTTCACTTATATTATTTAAATAAGCAATAAACTCAGCATTGTTTTTTCAGTTTCAGTTATTGAGTGTCATCCTTGGACACTATAAAAGGTTATAAAATGTGATCATATTATTATAAAATAGGAGATTATTTCATTATCATTTTTTTTCAGTTTGCATACTTATGATTAATCCTAGGCAACTTATTTAGCCATCATCCCTGTTTCCTGAAGTTCTTGTATCTCTTTGGGTTCCTAATCATGGGAAACAATAGCTCCACTAGCAGACTGACCCATTTTCTTGACTTCCTTTCAAACTTTAGAACTTTAACTCCAACCTCAAATTGCCTGCTCAGCTTTTCTTTAAAAATGTGGCCGAATATCCTCAATCCTCAAATCATTCTATTCCAGACTAAAAACCTGTCATTAAGCTACAGTTCACATAGCAAAGTCTTTTTTTTTTAAAGGATATGAGGTTATCGGGGTGTATCCTACATGTAAGAGGAGCCTCTCTCTATAAATGCAGCACACTCATTGGCTATCAAGCGTTATTTTTCCCTTCAACATAAACATATATTTAACATTTACTGGATTTTTCCCTCTAACATATTTTTTATTCCTTAATTAATTCCTTTCAATTTTATTGAGATATAACTGACATATAGCACTGTATACGTTTAAGGTATTGACATATATATTGCAAAATGATTACCACAATAAGTTTAGTTAACATCCATCACCTCATATAGATAGAAAGAAAAAAAAAAAAAAGAAAAAGAAAAAAATGTTTTTTCCCTTGTGATGAGAACTTTTAGGATCTACTCTTTTAGCAACTGTCAAACATACTATACCGCAGTGTTAACTACAGTCATCACGTTGTACATTACATTCCCAGTACTTATTTATCTTATAATTGGAAGTTTGTATCTTGTGACCACCTTCATCCAATCCTCGGACCCACTAATTCTTTGTTAACGACATATTTTAGCTCTCTCTTACATTTAAGAGAGAAATGTTAATTGTTTTCTCCTTGAATTCATTTTCATTCCATTCAAATTTCATTTTGTTATGTAATTATCAGCAACAGATATGAAAAGTACAGATGCTCTTTGGTTTCTTCCCACTAGCTATAGTAAAACATTAGAGGAGAGATAACCAAAGAAGGAACTGTTAAATGTAAGGGAGCCAAGACTGTTGAGTTTAAAAATAAAACTGTTTGGGCCGGCCCAATGGCGAAGTGGTTAAGTGCGCGTGCTCCTCTCCTGGTGGCCCGGGGTCAGATCCCAGGCACGCACCGATGCACCGCTTGTCAGGCCATGCTGTGGCCGTGTCCCATATAAAGTGGTTGAAGATGGGCACAGATGTTAGCACAGGGCCAGTCTTCCTCAGCAAAAAGAGGAGGATTGGCATGGATGTTAGCTCAGGGCTGATCTTCCTCACACACACAAAAAAAACACAAAAAACTGTTTCCCATGCCTAGTCTCTCTGGACAGCACATTACATTAAAATTAAGGAATGGTTTCAGGGTAAAAATGCAGCTCAGGTGCTGTCAGGAAAACAGTCTTAAGATGAAGCCAGGGGTGTGGCTTTGTTAAGACCTCAGGAAGATTTTAAGGTGGTGCTGTCTCATTGAACTCTTCAAAAAGATGAAAAACTCTAAAAATAAAGGGATAGCCCACAGTAACCTTACAAGGAACCTAAGGTAGAAAAAGGCTTATTATGAACATATTTGTGGATATGATTTTATCTAATGGAGTGGACTATAAATTGACTCATAAGAAATTCCAAATGTTTAAAATATTAGACTGAAAAGGACAGAGACAGTAGAAAATGAAAAGGCGGCTTTGGATCTGTATGGACACTTTTACAGAAAACTACTCATCTGCAAATGTAGGCTTCCTTCTTCTTGTGGAAAAGGAAGGATGACTTAGAAGGAAGAACTGCGAGCCCAGGGGACTGGGCCCTAGCTAACAAAGGAACTGGCATCTTGTACCTGGCTGGATTTTGGAATTGCTATGGACTAGTGATGCCTGTGTACTTTGCCTTTTCCCTCTTTTTTAACGGGAGTGCCTACAAGCAGTTATGTTACACCTATCCCACCATTGTATGCCAGCTGTGTGGGGGACAGACAGCCTGTTCTTTGAGTTCCTGGTTCTTTAAATCAAATGGAATGGTACTCAAGAAGCTGTGCCCAAGAAGATGTACCTGAGGAGCTTCACCTACATCTTGACCTGATCTGGATGGACAAGATACTGGGATGCTGATGCCTAAAGTGGAATGTGACCGAGGGGTCTTAGAGAGGGGATGAGTGCGTTTGACATGCGAGAGAGATGTAAATTATTGTAGCCAGGGAGTGGAGGGGCAGATTGCATTTTCCAAATATGGTTACACCAATATATCCCATCCCACGTCTTCTTCTTACAATGTGATATTGTCATTTGTCCATCAAGGGGTAGGGTCTATGTTCCCTCTCCATGAATCTGGGTGGGCCTGTGACTACAGAAGAGATGCTACATGACTTCTGAGATACGTCATAAAAGGTATACAGATTTGCCTAGTCCTCTTCTTGGGATGCTCATCCTTATGACCCAGCCCCCATACTGTGAGGAAGCCAAGCAGTCACATGTAGTGGTTCCAGCCAGGGCCTCAGCTGAGGTCCCAGCCAACAGCCAGCCTCAACCACCAGATTATATGAACAAGTAGCCTTCAGATGACTCGAGCCCAAGCCTTTGTGCCACTCCAGCTGCTGCTAAGTGGAGCAAACAAGACGTTCCTGCTGAGCCTTGCCCAAATCGCAGATTTGTCAGCAAAATAAATGTCACTCAAGCCACAAACTTTTGGAGCGGTATGCAATGGCAAATGTAAACAGCTTTTGCTGCCAGTTTGTTGTGAGAGTAAAATAAATGAGTTTAAGACTGTTTATTTCCCTCCAGTTGCTTTTTCCAAGTCTAAAGAAATCAGAGGGAAATTTATTCCATCATCACTCAGAGTCACCATCAGAAGTGACTAAAATCAATTTCTTTATATAATCTCACTTTATTCCCACTTTATTTATTCCCTACTTATTCTTAATAAATAGATTATAATCTCATATTTAAGATGACATCTATCTCCAAGGGATTCATATGTTTTTCTTGAATTATAAGCAATTTTGACATTGCCCAAGGCATTTATGTAGTAAAGAGAGGAGGAAAACATATCAAATAAAGACCTATAGGACACAAAAACTGCCAGGTCAAACCAAGTGAGTAATCGAACCGAGACAAAAACCCATGTCTTTCACGCTATCAACAGCACTGCAAGTTTCAATGACACAGTCTCATCAACATGAAGAAAATATCGAGAGTCTGTAAATACCTCTTCTGAAACACTTGTGTTAAATGGGTCATGACTGGGAGATCCTATTACTGGTATAGGTGACAGACTTTTCTCCAGATCACTAAAACCCTGTACATCCAGCAAAGTGGAGACAGAACTGGAAGTGAGCAGATCTTCATAGTCGCCATCTTGGCCTAGGAAAAGACAAAGCAAAAAGAGGTCAACAGCAGCTTTTCATTTATATTTTACTTTTGGAGGAAGATAAGAATCCCAATTACATTGAAAGTAAAAATTTTTCTGATCCTCAAAAATCAAAGAGGCAACTTCTGGCATCACTTGAAAAACAACAATATGGGACCTAGGAAACAACATCTTAAACTGTGAGCGTCTGAAGCCCAGGGGCTCTTGGGCCACATGAGTATCCAGCAGCAGTATTTACAGAGGTATTAATTAATAGTGGTATTAATAGACACAATCAGGGACTCACAGAATTGAAATTAAAAGTTAATTTAGTTCAGTAACCCTCCTGTAATTTTGTTTCAAAATTTGGGACTTTACAAATTTCAGTTCATAAATAACCATGCTGAGGAATACCAGTGGTACAACAAACCAATTCTGAATAGCAACAGCATCACTATTTAGATAGCTCAATTTTCATCACTACTGTGCTCTTGAAAAACCATAGAAAGGAACAAAGGAAAAGAAAAAAAGATAGAAGATCTTTTGATTCCTCAAAAGGATCCCTTGATTCCATTCATTTTAAAGCAGAAAGAACAGCCTGATGAAGAAAAGAAACCACATATCCAGCAAAGCAGAAACTTTGAGAATTTTTTCACATCTCTAAAAATGAAAAGGATTAAGTGCAGAGCAACACAGTGCCATAAATTCTTTCTTAAAAACAGAAAGAATGATGCTTAAAACTCTAATCTTTGAATAATACAAAATGGTAAATCTCATACTTGCTTAAAGATATTAAACTAGACATAGCTTCTTAATTTAGGTTTTATTAGGCTTTTATTCTAATTTTATTAGAATTTAGGTGTTATTAGAATTGTATGAGGATTAACTTGGTAAATATAAATCCTAATGAGAAATCACTGTTTATATAACTCTTCACTGGAACAAGATATCATTTTCAATGGTTTATGAAAATCTATCCTGCTGTACATAGTTAAAAACTACCTCATTTAGCTACACATTCATATGTATAGAAAAAAGATTAGAAAGAAATACATGAAAATGCCAATAGTGATCATGTCAATGCAATTATAAGTGATTTTTACCCCTTTTTTCTACTTGCTACATGTTTTACAATATGGCCTAATTATAAGGATTAATCTTTCTTCCTTGATTTTTAAACATAAGAATTACAATGTTGAGATTCTATAAAATCAATGCTTTAAATGCTATACCTATGTAAAAATTAACTACTTGCAAATTTGCAATATTCCTTTAAAGAAAGACTCTTTTGAAGGTATAGACATGCAGAGTGATGAGAATTGCCATAAATCAACATTGATACTCAGAAGTACATTAGCTCATTCAGATATTTACGAAGTCTTAATATATGCCAGGCCCTGTGGACAAAAAGATAAAGATCCATTTTTTCCCCAAAATTCTGGTCCAAAGTAGGATTTTGTTTGTGAACTCATCACAACTAAAATTTCAACGTCGGAGTGTTTCACGAGTACCTTTCAAAAGACTTGTTTATTTCCAGTGCTTATATTTAGAACAAATAACCCCACCTATGCGTTGCTAATAAACAAAAGAACTTTCAAAGTTCTTAATACTTTTGTTTGTTTTGAGTGACTCGCAAAGGTTTTCCACATTTGAGGATGGCCGACTGGGCCATCTACAGATAAAATAATAACAAATACAGCAAAATGCATAACTATCTTTACTTAGACGTCTTACAGGTTTTTGTTTTGTTTTTTTAACTTAACACATTCAAAGCTGAAGACAATCCCCCTTAACAAGGAACATTCCAATGTTCCTTCTCTAGGCTTCTCCTTCTTGGCAAATGGAACCATCATCTGCCTAGTTGCTTTAGTCAGAAATGTTGATCTTTTTTGGTTCTTTCCTCTACTTCACCCTCCTTATCTAATTCATCACACTATCCTGTTGATTCTAACATCAAAATATATTTCCAATCAGTACCACCACATCTTTCCACTTAAAATACTGCAAGAGTCTCCTGATTGGCTTTCCTTCCTTCCAACGGTGCTCCCTCCCACTATGGTCCATTTGTTACAAAAATCATGACATGGACTTGTTAAGACCCTTCAGTGGATCCCTGTGGGCTCAAGTAAGAGCCGAACTCCTCACCTGCATGACCTGGCCAGCACTCACCTCTATGATCTCATCTTATCTCACTCTCCCCCCTGCTCACTACCTTCCACTCACACTGGTCTTCTTCTTAAGCAGACCAAGTTCTTTTTTCCCCTAGGCTCTTGCCATGCTATTATTCTTTCTCTCTGGAACGCTATCTAATCAACTCCTTAGGAAGGCTCTGCCTGACCAACCAATCTACAGTATGCTCATTAGCCTACACACTTTCTGGCAGAGAACAGGTGCCTAATAATATCATTTTTTTTTTTAATTTTATTTATTTATCTTCCCCCAAAGCCCCAGTAGATAGTTGTATGTCATAGTTGCACATTCTTCTAGTTGCTGTATGTGGGACGTTGCCTCAGCATGGCCGGAGAAGCAGTGCGTCGGTGTGCACCCGGGATCCGAACCCGGGCCGCCAGCATTGGAGTGCACGCACTTAACTGCTAAGCCACGGTTGTTGAACGAATGAATGAGCTATCTAATTTGGGATAACGATATGCTCCATGAACAAAACTGAGGCCAAATGTAAAAGTTCATAGCCACTTAAAATTAAGTAAAGTAGAAAAACCTTTAGAGCTACACTACCTTTTTTACCTTGGGCCAATACCACTGTATCTTGCATTTTCTTGTACCTGTTCAAGCACTGTCGAAGATCTTCTATTTTCCGATCCTATTAACAAAATAAATTATCATCTTTAATACTATGATTTTAAAACAGTAAAAGTAATTGTGACACAAAGAATAAGTAGACATGAATTATTTACATTATTCAAAGAATACTTCTAGACTTTAGTAAAACTGGTAATATCTAGAATATTTTTCCTACATACATCAGAGACATAGAAAAAGTACCTCTAAATTTAGAGATCCTATCCTTCAGCTGCCATCTTTAAAAAACAAAAACAAAACAAGGTAATAAGATACAAAACAAAAAAACAAGGAAAAAATCAACTTTAATTACTCTCCTCTCCAACTTATAAGTCAGGTCTTGAAAAAAAAGATCTACACCTGCTGTCTTTATCAGCCATCATTAATCACCATCTGGCTTTTCCCTTCTCAAAACACTCCACCAAAGTCTCTTCAGTCATCAGTGACCTTCTATCTACCAAAAACAATGAACACTTTTCATCCTTTTTCTAATTTGACCTCAATTTGGCACTTCATTGACCCCACCCTTTCCTTCTTCTTTTGCTTTTCTTTCTACTCTTTCTTTTCTTCTATTTTGATTTCTTAATCCTTTGACCAGATAGATATTCTACTTCTATAACCCCCACTATCTTCCCAACCCGGAGTATAAAATGTTAGAGATTCAAGGTTTTGTCCTTACCCTCTTCTTTTTCCCATGCCCTCACTGTGGTGGATTATAATAAAGATGGTCTCCCTAGCTCCTCCCACAGGGATTTTGGGCTTGACCATGTGACTTGCTTTGGCCAATGAGATATCAACAAATATTATTCAAGAAAGGTTTGCAAATTATTTGTGCACTGGGGCTTGCCCTCTTCTGCTGCTCTACGGAATCCTGAGGCCACTACATGAAGAAGCATAGGGTAGTCTACTGAAGGATGAGGGACCATTTGGAGAAGACAGCCCAGCTGGGGCCAACCTAGACTGGTCTGTCAATCACCCAGACATTTGAGTCACACCATCCTAGACCATCCAGCCCCATCCCAGATGCTGGCTAATTGCAGAGATCAACTAAGCCAGCCCAGACCAGAAGAACCACCTAGTCAATCGCCAGAAGTATGAGAAATAATAAATGTGATATGCCATGGAGCAAAAGCTAACTGACATATCAACTAAAGTTTAGTGCTCACCAATCTACAGTTCTTTATTTCTCCTAAAATTGATGGGGTTCACTCTCCACCAATCTATGATTCTACATTAATCTAAAATTGAGATTCATTTTCCAACTTTCTATGAGAAATCTCCTTTTAAACAGCCCATGAGCACATCAAATTGAATATACCTAAAAGTAAGCTCTTATTTGCCCCCAGTCCTTGAACCACTGCTTGGATTCCCTTAATTCTTTGTGGGCACCAACTTTCACCCCATTGCCCAAACCAGAAACTTACTCTCAAATCCAAAGATTTTAAAATCTCACCAACCTGCAAATTTCTCTAAAATCTCTTCCCTCCTGACCACTTCACTGCCATTGCCTTATTTCAACCCTTCTTCATTTCTCACCTACACTATTTTAACAGCCTCTCAATTATTCTGCCTTCGCTCTCTCACCCTTATTCTTCCCTCCATTCTGCCACCAGAATTAGCTTTCTAAAATGGCTATTTAATCATGTCATTGCCCAAAGCCTACAAGCCAAGACCCCAAATCATTAGCCTAGCATGCAAGGTCCTCTACCATCTCACTGCAGCTCTTTTGTCAACCTCATACATCCCCCTCCACCTGTATCTCATGCTTCAGAACTTCCCCAGCATGCACTGGGCTGTTTTAAGCCTTGGTTTTTGAGACATGTTTTCACTCATGCATCTTTTGCCTAGAAGCCTTCATTTTCCTGATGAACAACTTGTGCTCTTCCCCAAAATTTGCTCAACTGTGCCCTCTCTGAAGCCATCTGGAACCACCAAGAATTTATGTCACTCTTGGTGCTCCTGTAGCGGTTTGAGCGTCTAGTAAGCCCTCATTCAACATGGGGAGTGTTTTCGTTATTGTTGCTTTTTGAGGGAGAAAAAATTAAAACAAAATAAAGGTCAGTGATTTTTTTTTCTTAGATAAAAGCTATATGGGCAGCTTGCTAATGATCTTTCTTTTTATTCAACAGTGGGAAAGACTAGCAAAAAGAAACCTATATTCGGGTGGGTAGGACAATGAGTTAATTTTCATGGAATAAAAAGCAAATAAAGAGAATGAGAGGCAAAAAATAAATAAAGAGACAAGTAAAACGGAGTAGGCAAGAATTAGAGAAAGAAACTTATGATGAGAGAAAAAGATCAAAACAAAGTTCTTTGGCATTGCTTGTTTTTCACTTCCTTGAAATTATTTTTTTCTTGGGAAAATCCCTCCTTGTTCTATTCATTAAGAGACATGAGGAGAGAGCAGTTCTGATGACAGGAGCTGAACCCGACTGTTGCTCCCCACCGGATATATGGCTGGTCAGGTAATGCACGAAGAAACACATTGCCTTAGGAGGGTAACTGCATCCCTGCTCTTAGCAGCATGAAGTGAGAAGCAACCAGAGGAAGAGAACTCCTGGAGACCCTGGCATTAGGCAAACAAAGCTAAAACACAGCCTAGGGCCATACTTGATTTCATGGTGCCTGCGCCTCTTTTTCTGACATCTTACCACTCAGGAGAGCAGAGACAATCCCAGATGTGCAAGAGGCCAGCAGTGTGAAGGAAATATTGAACATGGAGAAGAAAATCAACATGACCATGAAGCTAAAGTTGTCATGGGCTACCTCCTTCAGAGTTCCTATGTTAGCCCAGAATTTCCAGGGACCACAGAAAAGATGTACCATGGACTGTATCTTTTCTCTCATGTGTCACCTGAATATAAAGAACTGATCTGATAGCTTGAACATTTTCTAAATTCAAGGGGGTTACGGGTTGGGGTGGGGAGTGAGGATTCTCAGTGGAGCCAGTGCTGATCTCCATTCCTATGCACACAGCCACAATTACAACTGCCACCATGGAGAGTGGGCACACTTAGGCAGGAAGGAAGGATGTTTGCCCCTTAACGTCAGTAGTGTTCAGGGTATATTCTTTTAAACGGGGATATCTCAGAAAATGCATGGAATGATCAAAATAGTGTTACAACACATCCACATAAATATTTAAATTTTGTCTAGATACCTTTTCTTCATTTGCTGCCATCAAAGACTCCACAGCCTTTTTCATTTTTTGTACTTCAATATCTGAAAATATCACAACATCAAATCAGAAGTCAGTTTAGTCAACAAACGACAATAACGAGAAGATGACTCTTCAGATTTAAATATTTTAAGGTAAAGATGTTAAAGTTTTGTTTTGTTTTTAAAAGGGCACATTTACCATCCATATTCTCTTTTAGGGAAAATCTGAAAAAGGAACACCTTCTGTCTTACCTGATAGTCATCATTCCAGAAAGAAAATAAGGGAAAGTGAGAGCTAACTACCCTCTCTGAAAGCAACAACAAAATCCTCATGAGAACACTGAAGATGAAATTTCAGTGCTATAACAATACAAACATGAAGTTTTCAAAAAAGAAAACTATAAAGCGGTGGGCAAAAGCAATGAACAGTGTACATTATGACAAAAGCAGAAAAAATGATATTCAGTTATAACCAAGATGGAGACACGCATGGAAAGAGCCTGATGGAATGTGATATTTACGTGAGTAGTCATGCTAAGAAGCTGGTTGTATGTTCCATACAGAAGGATAATACATACTTTGCTTCATCTATAAACTTCATTTCCAATACTACTCTATAACATAAAGCACAAAGTAAGCTGAATGTGATTTTCCTTAAACTTTGATATTCAAATACATAAGCACGTTACTTCAATAATAAAAGAACAAATATTTTAAAGTTGAAAAGTCAACCTAAAATGAAAGCACAAATTTAAAAAATTGTAACAGAAAAAAATTCAGCTAAGGTTGCGTGCTTCTGAAGAAACAACTTACTATTTAAGATAGTTTTTAAAACAGTGGTGCACCATTCAGCACTGATAGAAAATTTTCAATTAAGGTATATACACTTTTTTGAAGACACATTCCCTTGACTTAAGAATTCGATGTCTGGAGGAAAGAGCCCATTAAGGATTTATCTTCATGCTGCATTAAATAATCCAGGCTCTATTAATGGGTCTGGGTATAATCTCTTTTTTAACACCAAGAGGGTATGTTTAAAGAATCTCCTAATGTAGATCTCAGTGAAACAGTGGCTACAAAGCATTGAAAAGCAAAAGCAAAGTTTGAAATGGTCTTTCAACTATGGTAAAATCTTAAAAACAGTAGGTTTTCACAGGAGTATAAACAGTTTCTCCTTTGACTCTGTATCTCCTGGGTCACAGAGAAAACACTTTTTGCCTCCACCTGTCTGGGTGCCCTGTCGAATCCTGTGGAGCGAAAGGGCTGAATCAGATAAAATCTGCAAAACGGTATTTTACTCCTTGTTTTTATTGTTTGTTTGTTTACTCTCTATTTTGTACACTCTGAAGAAATGGAGAGTTTATCGATGAAGCAACTTTACATCTTTGGCGAGAGAAATGTTTTAAAACACATGCAAAGAACAGTCCAAGTAGTACTTTTGGTGAATGTAAAGGCTGATGGAAATACACCAAAAACCTTACTTTTGTCTTTGAGCTTCTTTTTAAAATTTTCATCTGTGCAGGAAAACCCATTGAATTGGAAGTTAGCATACATTTCAACAATAAATGGTATTTTAAAAGCACTATTATTTAGTGTCCTTTTACCTACAGTAAAGAGACTCTAATCTCATAGAGACTGAATATTCAGCACTATTTTGTGACTTCAGGGCTGGTACTACAGTACGTAATGCTCCATGAGAGGTTAGAAAGAGAATCTAATGTAATTACCCAGCAGCCCTACATGTGAGTTCTTACCTCTGTCACTTCATCTTTCTGAACCTTGATTTTCTCGTATTAAAATTAGGCCTATGGAGTACACGTGCTTCTTACACTGTATGTGATGAAAAAATACTAATGTTGCTTTGGTTGTTTTTATGTTTCCATTACAGTTTGACATATGGCTCTCCTGAACATGACCAGGGCATTGCTTATGTCACTTTCAACTCACCACTCAAGTTCAACAACACTGAAATAGCCTATCTCTTGAATGAGATGAGTCCACTGATCAGGCAGGTAGATGTTAAGTCAGCATCTGATTGCCATGAAGTTTCTAAACACTTGCTCTCAATCCCTGTCTTTATCTGGTTGTGCACTGGTAACCAGTGGTTCACAGACCCGTACTAGTCCTTGGATCAGACCTGTATAGCACTATCCTAATATATCCTCTAGCCCACAAGTCCTATGATTCCACTTCTTTCTTAAAATCCTAAAAGCATGTTTGTGAAGGTCCTTTAAGAACACACAATTCTACATATGCCAAAATACAGAGGGGAAAAATCCATTTCCCTCAATGTTTGATGAATTGAGTTTTCTGATGGATAGAAAGTTGTGATACCTACAGGTATATAAACCCCGGATATTCTAGAGCCAAGAAAACTTTGGAGGTAATCTAATTCAAGCCCCTCATTGTACAGACAATAACGTTACCCTTGTTCACATAATAGATAAAAATGTACCAAAGCTATACTAAATGGAATTGTTCTGTTTTGAATGGCTCAGAAGTTTCTTTTTTCATAGTCATCATTTGTAATAACAAAGAAAGATTAAATTTGATCTAGTGTCAGATGTTACACGCATTTCCAAATATAATTCAAAAAAACACATTTCATTCAAGTTATTTTCAATCAAGTATAATCCACATTATTAGAAATTTCAGTCAATATAATATCCAGGACAAACCTCCTCAATTATGAAAACAATTTTTGGATAAATTCATATACTTTTTCAAAAACAGAATTAGCCTATTTTTGCTTTCTAGAAGGTTGAGGGCTCAATGAGTGAAAAGAAATTTTCATTGATTTTCCAGAGATACAGAGCCTTTCCTCTCTTCTCTCAAAAGGGCAGGCAAGGTTTCTAAATGTCTTATTTTATGTAGTCTCAAGTTCAGTTCAGAGGGAAATAATCTTGGGACATAGTAATGGTTCCTTTTAATTCTTTCTGATACTCCCCTGTATTACAATTTGGACAAGAACTCTCTGATGACGAGAATTTACAATTTAGTAATCTAGAATAAACACCCAAGAGAGCACAGAGCTGCCCTTCTCCAGCTGCTGAAGAGGAAGTTAGCAGATCCTCAAGCACAGTAAAGAGTCTCGGAAGATTCCCTGTGGTCCTGGGCCTAGAGAGCTTCTGCTACTCTTTCTTTGACGCTAAAATTACACATCAACTAACATCAGTTTCTTTTATAGGGCTTGGAGGATTTTAATAAAATAAGTGTTAAATATATATTCTCACCTTGATCAAGTATTTCAATCCCTTCTCCTTTCATCTTGCACACCAATTTTTCTTGTAGCCTTCTTACTTCGGATTCCTTCTCTTCCAGCTGTTCTTTTAAAGATGCCAGTTCTTCCTACAAATGATAAATTCATTTGAAAAGAGTAGATTACAACTAAAAGAGAATATTCGGAGAGTATGTTAATTCTTAAGTCAATAATTAATTTTTATGAATGAAACAAAAAACGACAAGAATTTAGACTCAAACTTCAGAAATCAGACAGTGGCAATGATAAGCAGGAAGCAAGACAATTAATAAAAGTCTAATTTATAATAATTATGGTATAATTATTTCAAGTTGTTTTGTGACCAAATCGAAAAGAAATCTTTTAACGTGTAAATTAGGACTACGGTAGCCCTAACGTTTAAATCTTATGCTAAATAAAAAAAATCTGACCAAGTTAATCAAAGAAGATAATCCAATTAGATGCGTAGTGTTATAAAAGCAAAATAAAATGCAAATTGGAAAATATATATCAAGATTTGTTTGACATTTATTCAGCATTTTAAGATGGCACTCGTGTTTCCTGGACAAGGTAGAGCTTAATTAGTGTGTAACGTAGCAGGTGATGAACAACTTTAGCCAAATCATGGGACTAAATAATTCATCCTCATCATTAAGATAAAAGAACAGAATCTCCTACAACAATGGAAAAAAACAGCTTTAGAAAATAGATTTTAAATCCTCTTTTCTTTTTTTTAACTACACAATCATCAAAAATCCCAAGTCCAATCTTCTACCTATTTACTAATGTTTTAATTTTCAGTTTCACTTTGGTAAAGAATTAGCTTCAGCAAATTTAAGTTTTGCTGACTGTATTTAACACAGAAAATAAAGCTATGCAATGCTAATAAATGTACCTTTATTTTCAATAACACATTTCATTTTCAGTCTCTAAAGATATGTACTACGTTTAGTACCATGAGAAGATGTAGTTCTCCAATGAAGCTAAGAAATTGGCCCTCTAGTTCTTACTTGTAGGAGGAGTGGAGACCAAGTACAAGAAACCTTCAGTAGCCCTGGCAAGAAGTGCTGTCCTGTTCTCACTGGGCCATGATATAGTTATCTGCCGTATACATTTATGTTCAAGAGGGTCCCAAAGGAAGAATGCAGTGTCTACTATGGATATGAAACAGAATTCTCTCACAGCTGGGCTTCTGCAATTATCTTACCATGCTTAAGAAGCAGGCGACACACATACACACAATGAAACGCACATGCTACTAAAAACACCATCACAGCGAAACAACACAAGCCGCAAAGCAACAGGCCATGGACCCCACGACCCAACTCTACTCCACCTTCAGTGACTCCCATTTTTGTTCCATCCGCTGTTTTTCATACTGCATCTGACCCACTTTGATTTTCATGCTAGAAAGTTTGGCCATTAAAGACTGGTAGAGAAGACAGAGGAGTGAAAGGAAACTACAGATAGAAAAAGAGAAGCTAAATAACCGAGAAAACAGTATCAGTTTATGAAGGAGGTTGTGGACAACTTAGAGAAATGACAGGTTATAGTCTAACAGATTAGTTAAGCCTGATTTTTATTCAGAATAGTAGTGTTTAAATTCAAGAAGTTCTCCCGCTTGGGGAAAAACTTCATTTACCTGTAAAATACCTTCTTTATCATATACTAAGTAGAAAACATATTTTATTTATATTATTGATCATATATATAAGTAGTGGAGCCATTTGTTTCAAAATTTTTGCCATTGAGAAAACTTACTTTGGTTGATTTCAGCTTTTTTTCGTACTGAAGTCTTTCACTGTCCATTTCACTGACTCTCAACCTCAAATCATTGATCTCCTGCATTAGCCCCTGTCCAAAAAGAAACAAGATACATTAGGAAGGCAGTAACACACTTGTCCACACCAAAACAGCAGCTTGGAAATCTTAAATCAACAGCGCCTGGATTAAAGTTGTATGAACTAGGTCAGACAAATGGAAATAAATCTATCTCCTTGAGAATCAAAGCATCTTTCCATTTAAAACATGCTTTAGGGGCCAGTCTGGTGGCGTAGTTGTTAAGTTCGCGTGCTCCGCTTTGGTGGCCCGGGGTTCGCCGGTTCGGATCCCGGGTGCAGACATATGCACTGCTTATCAAGCCATGCTGTGGCAGACGTCCCACATAAAACAGAGGAAGATGGGCACAGATGTTAGCTCAGGGCCAGTCTTCCTCAGCAAAAAGAGGAGGATTGACAACAGATATTAGCTCAAGGCTAATCTTCCTGACCACAAAACAAAACAAAACAAAACACTGCTTTAAATTCCCAAAGCCTCTGCCTGAAAATGATGGGATGATAAAAATAAAAGGTGACTGTAATTCTTATTAAGAAAAGTGGCTAATCACTTACAATCATTGATCAGATATTTCTAGACTAAAAATCACTATATGAATCACTGTCTTTTAAAATACACCAGAGAAATTTTCTTAAAAAATTTTTTGTTTATTGCAGTAACATGGGTTTATAACATTGTATAAATTTCAGGTGTACATCATTATACTTCTATTTCTGCATAGATTACATCATGTTCACCACCCAAATACTAATTACAACCCATCACCACACACATGTGCCGAATTATCCCTTTCGCCCTCCTCCCTCCCCCCTTCCCCTCTGGCAAGCCATTTACTTTTAGGGCCTCTTCAGTGATATATGGATATTTATAAAAATATCTTTATAATTTCTTCATTTGTCTACAAAAATACAGATTGTTCATCAACCCAATCTGGGAGAATGGAATGAAATTTAAATCATTTCAACCAAGGATTCTCAAGTTGAGGGTGGATGAGGCTCTTGTCATTTACAAATATATTCAGTATAATAGAATTTTATATGTGGAAAATGAAAAAGAAAGTAATCCTAATGTTTTTATAATATAAATACAATCGGATACTTTTTCTACTAGCACTTTTTAAAAAAACAAATTTGCTTGTAAAATTTGTCTAAATATTCTCAGAAATGGTGACATATTTTTATCCAGAGCCCTGAGAGTAAGAAAAAGAAATTAGAATGCTAAATAATGCCACCTCCTCCAAAACAAGGGCTTCAATATTCTGCGAAGGAGATGATTTTCTTTTTTACTACAAGCCACGAAGGCCCCATCAACAGTTAACGTGTTTTTGTTTCTCTCTTTCACAAGACATTTCTTCCTGAGCCACAAATTCATAGACGACAGAACAGAATTATACAAGAATGCCATAAAAAAAAATAGAACAATGTTATAAGAAATAAAACTTTCTTAACAAGGGATTATTCTAAACTTCTAAGTGCAATGATTCAGTCTCACCAAGGCTAGGAAAAAGGACGCTACAATGAAAATACACTTCCCAGGAAACCCACAGGCTTTTACATTGTGGTTTCTTGTAAAATGGGAAAAAGTATTACCTAGCATTATTATATAAACAATTACTTACCAATATTATTATAATCATTATCAGACATTATTAATACAATGTATAATCATTATTAATACAATGTTTCAATAAGAGGACTCCTTTTACAAATAAGGTTAACTGTTTGACATCATTTAATGACATTTTAGTTGCGATTCCTTAGCCACAAGTTCAGAATTCAAGTTCAAGGAAAAAGTCAGTTTCTCCCATTTATTAATCATCTTTGCATAATATGAGTTTCTAGCCTTCTTGCTTCATCAGTCTGATCTTTTTAAAATATATTTTCCCACTTTCTCATTGTTAGGAAACAGCTTTGAATTCCTATTTGGCATTGTTGTATTTTACCACTTCCTTTAGAAATAGTGGCAATTTGCAAAGAAGAAGAAATAATTGAAGAAAACAGAATTATAAACTGAGATAATTTTTATACTAAAAAAAAACTACCCAATTATCTTTTGTAGCAACACCGTAAATATGAATGTAAATCTCCAACATGAAAGAAGTCATATCTTTCATATGACTCAACTGTGACAACTCAAGCTGGAAAATCTGGAAATAGCTACTTAATATGAAACTTTTAAAAATGGAATACAAACTATTTCTCACTAATTTCTTATCAGAAGTTCAGTCCTTTTTAAAAAGAAAATCCCCATTACCTTTCCCTTTTCTATTTCAGAGAACTCTTTGGGGCTCCAAAGAAACCCAGTTGCTGACATCTGTGCTCTTACCAGAAGGGGGCACTGTTGAATATTCTAACCATCTATTAGCAATTCTTGGGACAGGCAAGTTCTCAACCTTCCAAGGTTTCAAGACTTTTACCTCCAATCTTTTGGAAGTACCTATACTTCTTCCTCACTCTAATATTTTCTTAGAAATTAATGTCCAAATAATCTAAAGCTCCAAGACAAAGTTAAAGAATTTTGGATTCATGAAACAGCTAGGGAAACATTTTATTTTTACCAAGGGAACAATAATAGGAAAATGAACATAGCCAATTCAGTTTTAATTTTGAAGATTATTTTAATATATAACAAAGTTTATCCAATAGCCTATAATTTCTGGGTATGTGCATACTACATTTTACCAATAGTGTGGAATATTTATGAGAAAATTATCAGGGATTGAGTTTACTGGAAGTTTGATGGCAAGATCACTTTGTAGATGATGGAGAAGGCATGAGTGAAGCAAGGAAGCACTGGAAAGAAAAGTTTTATTAAAAATGCAGACAAACTCGAGAGACGTAAATATTGCTCTGTGGTCTTACAAAAAAATCATAAAACATCCACTTCAATTTAGTCTTAATGTTTGGTTAACATCTCATATCCAAATTAACGACAGTCGTGTAGGTTAAGATTTCCCCTAAACTTTGTGTCTGTAATGTAGAAGACCACCTCTTGATCCCCAAATACTGCAACTTCTCTCTCTGCAGCAGAATTAGCTCCACTGCCATAGGTCGTCCATCTGCTGCTGAAACCTATTACTGTGTTATGGAGCAATTGTGGGGTCAGGGAATGACAGAAAGGGAAAAGAGGAAAATATCCAAACAGATTTTTAAAGAAAGCACAAAAGCAAGAATTTTAAAGAAACTGGGTAACTTTCTAAATTCTGCTTTAAGAGCCCCAGTCTCAAACAAATGAGAAACATGCTCATATAGGTAATTGACAAAGAGCCTTAGGATAAAAACATGAACCAAGTTAGGGATTTCCTTTTGTTATTGAGGAAGTAATACATATACCAAGATTGTTACAACTTGCCATTATAGTTACAACTTTGACAGGAAATTTACCTTTGAAAACAGCAATGATGTAAACCTCATTAAATTCAAATCTATGAAGGACTTTCATACAATGGATAGTATATGTAATGTACATCGTATCATGATGACATATACTCGGTATGAAATAAATGTTTGAAATGAAGACAGAGGGGAAAAATAAGTAAATGATTTCTTCTCCTCTCTCCTTCTTGGTACCCATTTTCTAATACAGTACGACACCTCTCAATACCCCAACCAAGGAAATAAAATAGAGAAAAAAGAAGAGATGGCCATAGGAGAGAAGGAATTTCTGCAGCTCTTTGTATTTGTTTTCAAATGAATAGACTTCAAATGGATATGCTCTCTCCCCCCACCAACAAAACAATAAGCAAATAAACTAGAAGACCTGGATTAACAATAAAATAGATAAAACAAAAAAGAAAGCATGTTTAAGCCATGAAAATGGATACTTAAATTGTAGAATCTATCCTGAATTTCACAAAAGTATAGTGAGCTTTAATTGGAATGATTTATGTGTGCAATAGACCAGAAGTAGAAGGCCGAATTAAATGACCTCTAAAAAACTGTAATTTTTTATGATTTTACAATTTTATAAAATACTATAATTATATAGTAAATAATCAGTGTGCTTAAATAATAACTACTAGTAAAATCATGCACTTAAACCCATTATTTCCACAATGAAGAAAATCAATATAGATGGATAGATGGATGGATGGATGGACGATGGATGGAGAGAGGGAGGGAGGGAGGGATGGATAGACTGAAATAGATAGACAGAAGCTCCAAATGTTCTAAAGTCAAAAGTATTTCTAAAGGCTAATGAAAGGATTAATATTTCATATCAAAAGTCTCAAACTAAAAATTACCATTAGCATTTAGTGATAAAAAGTCACTAAAAAGCATTTAGTGATAAAGATGTATATAAGTTTATTCCTAAAAAGAAGCATGAATGAATGTGAGGATGGGAACATGTGTGTGTGTGATACATATGTATACACATGTGTATGTATACATATATAACGAGAGAGAGAAGATGTCACTTACCTCTGTGTCTCTGAACCTATCTTCATAATCCAACCTGTCCTTCTCTACAGCTGTCAGTTTTAACTTCAAGTTGGATATTTCAGCCATCAGATCCAACTTCTGAGTTTCTAAGGATGTCCTACTCAGAAGCTCCTATTAGAATTTAAGACATACATTCAAAAGTTGTTTTACTATGAACAGGCACATATAGATGTGTCTCATTTACGATGAGAAAGCAGTAACTACCAAGCAGAGGCTGTGGTGAAGATGAATTACTAAATGGATACACTTTGAAAAAATGTTTTGCTTTAGTTAACCTTCTTTGAGCAGAACTCAACCCATGTCTGTTTAGGGGGGAGACATATATTCTATAGACCCATACATAAACCTTGCATATTCTTAAGCCTGATGATAACACTCATGATGATGATGATATTACGTTTGCTATGTGCCAGGCACTGTTCTGACATGTATTAAGTGGTTCAATCCTCAAAATAACGCTTATGAGGTAGAAACTCATAAGGATAACTCATGAATTATCCTTATTCAACAGATGAGGAAGCTAAGGAACAGAGAAATTAAGAACTTGCCAAAAGTCATACAGCAAGAAAATGGCAGAGCAGGGACTCAAACGTTAAGTAGTCTCATTCTAGTACGCACTCTACTGACTATATTATAGGTCCTCTCATAAATGAGCAATATATGTTTGTGTGTCTGTGTGTGAGCGTATACAAGTTTTTTTCCAATAACAGTCATATATGGTATTCATCTTTTTTCTTACTCATAAAATACATGCCCATGGTTGAGAGTTAGAAAACCATATGAAAGCATAAAGAAGAAAATTCAAATTACCTACAATCCTATTAATGTTTTACTCCAGATTCTAATTACATGAACACTTTCTACGGTGTGTTTTGAGACCCTGCTACTTCAGGTTTTTGCTTAAAATGTGCCAGTCCAAGTGAATCACAAAACTTACTGCTGCATCAGAGCAAACATATAAATGCACAACATGTATAAATGCAGCATCTCCAATAGTTCAGCAGGGAAATGCCACCTTGGTGCTCACTCTGCACGTACCTGCTGCAGCATTTCTTCTGTGGCGTTCAGCTTCTCTCTGTGCTCTTCAAGACAGAACTCCAAATCTCGAATCTTCTCTCCCTGTGCCTCTACCTGGTCTGTTAACACACTTACCTGTATTTAGAGCAAAATACTGCAATCGATTAGGAAGAATTTGAGTCCCACTGCAAACTATATTTCTCTAAGTAGAAGAAAAACTGGAACGATGTCACCACTCATTTGGTTGTAAAGAAAAAAAATCTGTGAATTAATAAGACAGAAGTCCTTCACACTCCTATTGATGTGACGCTTGTTGATCTGAGGACTCCTATTCAATTTTTAAGAAACTTAGGGCTGATTGGGATATGCAACACTTCACAGGTTAAAACCATTTCAACCATTTATGAGAGAAAGTATGTTATTATAAACACAAATTATCTTTTTTGGGGGTGGGGTGGAGGTAGGAGGTAGTATAGAGATTAAGAGAGGAAATGGAGTTCATGTTTGAAAGTGAAGTCATCAAGGACTATTCAAGTTTGATACTTCATGAAGAATAAAGAAAAGAATCCAGGGAATTCGATCCTATGAGATCTTTCATGATGACACCATTCACAAATGTGTTCCAAGCCAGGGGGTAACTCAAAGTCTATAAGGAGCCACTGGGTTAGTCCTCCGTCCTCAGTGCTTACTGCAAATCTCTGAGTTCTTCCCCAACGATCACCAGCCCAGTAAATATACTTCAATTCATTAAGCAAAAATACCCAAGTAAAAATATCTGTCAAGCATTGAAAACATTATGAAGAAAAAGAAAACTCAAATTTAGCCTACAAACAGACAGGACTCCACTACACACTTCGTGTTTTGTTTGGCCCATGCTATTATTTTTAAAATTGAAAAATTAAATATATTCAGAATCAGAAATATATACACAGGTTTATGCATATATGTTATGAATATATATAGTATAAAAATCTGAATTTCTGCTCTATATTAAAAAATCAGATCAGATGACACTGTGCCTGTATTCAGACTGGCCCTTGAGGAGCCGAGGCTGATTAAAGGTTGCTCACTCTTCACTAGGTGTGCATACCCTCATTCTGCTACAGTCCTCACCACTCTCTATTATACACAGATGGCCTACTGCACTTATTTCTGTTAGCAGTCTGGCTCCTGTAAGCATCTGAATTTGCCACACCAATTTACAATGGTCATTTTAAGTATGTTGTGAGGAAAGATTAACATTTCAAAATCACTTGCCTGAAGAACAAGGGATTCTTTATCATTTTCTAAACGTGCTAGCCTTTCTTGATACACATCTCCATTCCCAGGTAGGTGTCCATTTGTCTGAAAAAGGAAATAATATGGGTAAGGCTGACCCTCTTTAAAATTGAACTACTAGTGGTAATTGAAAATTGCATGTGTTTTTAATCCAAGGAATTGAATTGAATTCAGCACAACTGTTACCGCCATTAATAGAAGATATGAGAATGCAACTTGGTTCATTTATCTCAAAATAGATAAGACAGGCAGGTAGGCATCTAGGCATGTTTTCACCAAAATACAAAACTTCTCATCAAGCAGAAAATAATGACCCTCAAGGAACGGCGGGTACTGATATTCACTGACAACGGATGCACACCTGGGACATGCGAAGCTTTGTGAGTGTGTGGTTGGGCACAAATCCCTATTTTTCCCCAAGTGCTCAGTGCCACTAATTCCGGGTGGGGACAGTGGGAATGAGCTGTGATGCCGTTGCGTTCCTCCACCTCCCCACGAAGTCCCACATCCAGGACTGCAAATGCCTGTCTTCAAGTGGGAGACAGCAGTGGCAACTTACACCACAGGCTTCTTCCTGCTACTCCAGTCTCCAAATCATAGGATGAATCTTCCCTTCCTCTTTGAAGCCTTGAGCCTTTGATGCCTTTCTCTCCTCCCCCAAAAGCTTAAGCACTCAGTCCACAGTGACTTCCCGGCAGCACTGACGAGCCACGCTCATCGGTGATTTATCACTTTCCGTCCCGAATTCATGAACTTTTTGTGAGTTTGCTTGTCCATATAACGTTATGCCAAGCTCCTGGGGAGAGCCTATGAATTGGGATCATCTCGTAATCTTCACAGCATCTGGCCCATCAGCTGAGACTAGTGCTCAACCTTCCCCCCCTCCCTCCTGACCTCTTTTTATCAGATTTGGGTATATTTACGCATAGTATAAATGCCAAAGGAAGTACAGATTGGGAAAGGAAGTGGAGATTTTTTTCCTCAGCCATCATATATGCAAGTGATTAAGAAGACACATGCAAAGGATCAGAGAACAGACAACATAAAAATGTCATCGTGAAATCGAGTTGTATGTGATGTGTCCCTGTTATCTCATTTAAATGGTTCATAACCATATAATATGTAATCCCACTAGAATTTCCTGAGTCCCCATTCAAATACAACAGAAATAAAAGCCAGTGGAGTCCAAAATGGTTAGACGGGGCCATCCAGAGTTCAATAAAAAAGCAAGCAACAAGTTCAGATTCAGAACCAGAGAAAATACAAGTCCTTACCACCCAGGACACGTCTGATGTGACATCTATTATTTTTCCAGAGTTAATGGTATTATTCTACCTGTCCAATTAATGCAGTTTCCAGTATAAATTCTGGGAATAATGAAAGTCATGCGTTGGGAAGGAAAAAAAGCAAAACCAAACAAAATGGAGCTTTAACAAAAAAGAAAATTTCAGGATATTTCTTCTAAAAACTTAGGTGCACTGGATATATTTCCCACAAGGCCACAAAAGAATCAGAAGCTAATTTAGCAACTGTGCACTATGTATTTAGAGGGGATAAAATTTTTAACGTCAGCTACTTGACCACATACCTGTACAACTAACCACGGCGTAATTCTGCTCATGTTGTGAACTTAAGTGTTCAGAATTAAATTACAAGTATTATGAAAAGTCTGATGGAGTGGCCTGGATGACTTCCCTCCCTGGCGACTACTGTGAAAATGAAATTTATGTAACTTCTTCAGGACAGTTTTTTGGGAAACCGCCAGGATGCATAATGCATGTTCTCAATCAAAGAAAGTGCTGAGACTGGCCCTGAACGGCTTTCAATTCCTCAGTTTGATTATGAACATTAACAGGCACCTACTTTTAAAACCCCACACAAGCAGTTTTTTTATAAACAGACACATTTCATTAGGTAGAATAAAAGCTTTCTATTCAGTGAGGACAAGAAGCAAAAGTCTTTCTTCTCACTGGAGGAAATAACAGCAGGATTAGAAGTGTTTCTTCCCAAGCTACTGTATGTGATATGAAAATGAGATGCTCCCAAACCAGTTCTCCAAAATTATCCTAAAATGAAAACAAAGACTAAAAATGGACTAACAATGAGCACACTCATGTTTCTCAACACTGTATTGATATTTATGAGTGCTCAGAAGGCTCGAGAGTAGTTTAATTTTTTTTTTAAACACTAAAAGTCACTCTTGGAACATAAAGTAAAAGTTAAGAGCCACCAATGGAATAGTTACATACTTTTAAAGCATTGTGTTAACTTATTCAAGTAGATAAAGGTCTGTTCTATTTACAGGTTTATTTATATTTCTGCCAATTTTTTTTTGCTGAGGAAGATTCACCCTGAGCTGACATCTGCTGCCATCTTCCTCTTTTTGTATGTGAGCCGCTACCACAGCATGACCACTGACAGACGAGTGGTGTGGGTCCACACCCCAGAACCGAATCCAGGCACTGAACCCAGGCCACCGAAGCAGAGTGTGCCAAACTTAACCACTAGGCCACCAGGGCTGGCTCTATTTCTGCCAATTTTGTTACCTTTGCCTTAAAAATGTGAGAGGGAGGTGAGTTCCATTAGGCAAATTACCTATCGCCTCTATTCTTCCTCCAACTCCCGTGCTCCCCCCACCAGAACACTCAAAACCTCCCCAAACATGGCATACTCTCTCACACACTAATTCTGTTCCTTCTGCATGGACTGTCTTATTCCTCCTTTCCTCTTTTCCCTCATTCCTTAAGGTCCACCTCAATGACGCTTGATCTGTGAAATCTCGCTGGAATTACCTGTTCACTCACATGCCAGTTACAGCATCTGGATGAACCTTCATTGCAGCAGGCATCACACTGAAGGGACTAGGTTAGAGTTGGCTACATACACGTCTCTCTTTTCCAATCGACTCTGCATTCTTTGTGAGTCATCTTGCATCTGACACATGGTGGGTGCTAACTAAATGACTCCTGAATGAAGGAGAAATGATATGTGTTCAATAGACACTGGATGAATAAAAGATGAATGAATGCCTGGTTTTAGCCCTGCCTTCTTGCTTTTCAGCAAGACTTTTACTTGTGTTTCCTCAACAACCTAGCACGCAAACCATGGTCGACCTCTAGACTAGCTCCTTTCCCCTCAAGCCTGTACACCCTCTTCCTACTCTGTCTTGAAGGTCATCTCAGAGGCTTTTTAATGGATAATAATTGAAGCCATCTTGCATGAACTCCCTTATATACTTTCTTCTTCAGTGTACAATATTATATATTGCCTCCTACATCTCCCCTTTCTTTCTTCTTGCCAGTCTCGGGGGAACTGAGTCTTAACTGCTTCCTAAAAGCTCACCATTCCACCTCTACTTTGGAACCTTGATTTCTGGCTTCCCTGAGACCTACAAGTATCACCTCTGTCCTTATCATTCTCAATTTTTTCCTCTTAATGACCTTTCCTCCATTCTCCTTGCCAACATCTACCTAAGGCTTTGTGCCCACCACTATACTTACCTCCCACTCCTCTCTGCCTATAGGAATCCATCTCTAATAGCCAGTTCCCACCTCATCCTTACATTGCGCCACTCTCTTCTCCTCCTCCACTGGTTTCTCTTCTGTGTTATGTCTTGTCCTTCAAAAACTTAGCTTTTCATCATATTCTGCCATGGAGAGCTTACTGGTGATTTTATGCAAGTTGGTCACTTACTATTCTTAACAGTCTCTCAAGGAAAAACTGTCTTACATTTCTTTTGATTCTTCCTTCATGCTTATAAAATCCTGAGCACATAATTAAAAACATATAGGTATAAACTCTTGTTGAGTCAACTTGACATCCAAAGCATTGAAGACCAGCCCAAATCACTTTACTCAAAATCCCAGAGATGTCTTCAAAATAACCCTTTCTTCTTTAGCTCATCATGTAACCCCTTATTGACCATGTTCAATCTGGCTGAAAGCTGGATACCTGCACAGTATCCAACAGTGTGTGTGGAGGGGCAGGGGTGTGGCACACCAGGGAGGGCAGGGCAGGAGATGCAGCTTGACTTAACAGTGACACTTCGATTTAATTAAGGAACTCATGGTGTTTCCCAGGTTTTTCTGGAATCATGGGGGAAAGGGTCTAAAAAGCTTTATTCCTCATAGAATTATAGAATCCCAGAGCTAGCCAGGAACCACACCTGGGAATATAAACTGCCTGAACTCACACAGCAGGTGCCACACGTAACGTTAGAGCACCATCTACCTTACTCTTCACCATCTAAGTAGAGGCTCTTCTTTTTATATTAATTTCCTTTTAATTATCAAGTATTATAAATACACAATCAAGTACAAAAATGTCATAAAAGTTAACATCTTGCCTTACGTGCTTCCCTTTTTAAAAATGTTTTATTACAGAAAATTTTAAATATATATAAAAGTAGAGGCTAGCATGATGAAGCCCTATGTACCCATCACCCAGTTTCAATGATTATTAACTCACTGTAGGTGGGAGTTTTGGCCCGTTACTTTTGCTTAAAGCATCATGTTGTGTTTTCCTTTGATTTTCTTAGTTCTGTTGGCTTATGTTAGTCTACCCTGGTCTCCTCTCTTTTTCTAACCTTCATTTTGCTTTGTTCATCTTTCCTGAGCTCTGTTGTCCTGTCTAAATAAAAAATCAACATACAAGCAGTGATTTGCCACAATTATACTTATTTATAACACAGAAACTCATTTTGAATACAACATTCCCAAATCAAAATGGTGAGTAGCTAAATTAAAGTGGGGAAGAGAAAATCAGTCCAATTTTATAGGGTCAACAAATGTTAAGAAATAGTTGGACTAGTACTATTACACACACACACCCCACTCAGTCAATATACTTAGTGTTAAAACTAGTTTTGGAAGTTGTCATACAGTCTTGATTTCAAGATTCTATTTTTTAAAATGCAGTATTATCAAGAAAGGAAAAGGAAGGCGCAGTCCACTAAAGCTCCTTTAATTAAATGTTATCTCTAGCTACCAAAAGAAATACCTAATACAAGGGCCTTTCGTGTCCTGATCGGTATTATATCTCTACCACTACATGCAGACATTTATTGC